AAGGACATATGATGGGGAAAAAAAGGGTTGGATGCGGCAACCTTCGAAAAAGGCCATATGGGAAAAACAAGCTGTTATGAGCTCAAGTCACTGCCTCATCAGTCTTCTGAGTAACAGTGCAAACCTCGAGAATGAATTCTGCTGTAAAACAGAAGGCGATTTTAATGTGCCTTGCAAATGTGACGACAAGAGATGAAGCCCCTGCTTAGATTTTCAAATTAGTGATCTTACCTGAGATAAAGTTTTTAAGAATAGTATTTATGCCTCTGCCACCAAAATACGGTGGTTTAAAATAAAAAAGAATCAATCAACCCCTAAAAAAAAGCTGATTGCTCTCCCAGCAAATTTCAATATTTTCCTCTCTTTCTTTTTAATACTCCTTCCTTAGTACCTAATCTTGCTATTATGTAAGGGCTTGAGAGAAACAGAACATTGCTGAACCTAGGCAGTCCATCTGAGCAGGACGCACCGAGCCCAGGCAGGGATTCCATAGCCCATGCACATTGCAAAGCACAGCACAGTGGCTCTTTACCCCTTAGCACAAGGGTCTTTTAGGAGAGAAGCTCGGTGTGCAGCCGCAATTATGCAGATTTACCAGCCAGCCCTCTGTGGGGGCTGCAGCAGTGCCTGGCAGAGGATAAGCTTTCTTGTCTCCTGCCCAAGCTCTGCAGAACCCCAAAGCCTGGAGAATCCCCCAACTCAACACCCAACGCCCAGGCTGTTCAGTGAGGCTGTGTGCTAGGTAGAGGATTTGGTTCAACACCTGAGAGTCAAAGCTAAGAACTACCCAAGGGAATTCCAGTGGCACAGCTTTTTCTGAGGTGGAAAGGAAAGATGTACTGACTCTGACGTGTGCTTACCTGTCCAGTAACTGGAGTTCTTTGAGATGTGTGGTCCTTACCTGTACTCTGCTTGAAGTGTGCAGCACGCACCTGAGACAGGAAGATTTTTGCTAGCACTGTCCGCTGGTCTGTGCCTGCGCCATTCTTCTCCTCATGCTCTGAACACAGGGCATAAAGGGAGGTATAGACCAACTGCGTCTCCAGTTGCCCTTCTACTGTAGAAAGCCCTAGGCTAAGGCTCTACAGCAGAGGGGAAGGAGGGAGGGTAGTGGAATAGAGGTAGCGGAAGACAGAAATAGTCTCTGAGAAATTCTGGGGGATGGGTGAAGTCCCTGAGCGCTGGTAAAGGGCAAACACAGTACCTATCTTTAAAAAGGGGAACAAAGAGGACCATGGGAATTATAGACCAGTCAGTCTAACTCGAACAGCTTCTGTCTCAGACCCCAGGAGGTAGCAAGAAACTGGAGAGGTGGTTGGTCCAGGACACCCCTTAAGCCCTTGGTTTGGAGTACGAGGAGGATAATGGTGCAGGCACAAACTAATGGACACTTCTAGCAATAATGTCCTGGTCTCAGGCCCATGGAGTGCATGCACACCTCAAGTAGAATACACACAGGGACCATCACACAAAGAACCCTACTGAAATAAAAATGCTAGCCGTACTGGAAGGTCCCTTTGCAGACTGACTCGGAAACCAAAAAAGTATGGCCTGCCATCACAACCAGTGTGAAGTACTGAAGTTGTCTTCCCGCCAATATTTATTCACTGTATGTTTTCCTGCTTTAATTTCTAGTTGCTCCTTTACTGCCCTGTAGCCTCTTCCACTTTATCATGAAGAGGTATTTAAAAGCAATATCCGGTCTTTGCAGAGCTTTGCATATACAACTTCCCATTTGTATTGCTCATAATCCTCTGAATAAAATCTCTCCTTTCCCCGACTTCACAAAATCCAAAATTCCATGTTTATCAGCAAAGCTGCTAATCTGTCATTAAGGGAACATGGGAAATTCTAATTTTATCAAGGGGTATAAAATGACTGCTTACTAATTCTGAGGCTACTTATCAGGTATGCTTCTTCCATTAAAATGATCTATCCACCTATCCTACTTAGTATACAAATCTCATTTTATATATCAAATACATATTTGACTATTTTCAACTGTCCACACATTTTATATGAAAAATAAATGGGTCTGTTCTCTTTAAAGAAAAACATTTTACAGATATTTTTATAGCCCCTTCTAAGGTTATCATGCTTTTTTCTTCTCTCCCATCTGGTGTTTCAGCCTCTTGTTAATAGGAACGTGTGAAAGATTTCCACCCCTGACATCTTTCTGATCCTGTGTGACTCCTACATACTCCCACATACACACAGCATGGCTTCATTCAGCCATTTATTATCCCATGCACACAAACGTCTTCACTTCAGGAAGTACTTCTGCATCTGTTATTTGCTGAAGTATATTTGACATTGTCTTTAGAAATACTTTGGCTGATCAGCATTTACACTTAAAAGAAAATAAAAGCAGGGCACATCACTGTTTGTATAAAAGAGACAGGAATGCTGCGTGAGAGACACACCTGTTGAATACCTGTTAAAGGTACACTGCTCAATCTTTTCCCTGTCAGGTCCCCTGAAGCTGAATCAGTCCGCTTTGCTGGTACTCTCCTATGATGCGAAGTCAAAGTTTCCATGGAATTCCTCCGAATGGAAATGGCACACAGGGACTCGGGGACATTTTCAGAAGTGCTTATGTAACCTGGATAACTAAGCCCCCTTTCCAAACGGGATTTATGCACTTAGGAGATGAGACTCATTGAAAATCAATGGGCCCACAGATCACTGAGGCACTTTTGAAAGTTTTACCATCGAGGCTTCTTTTGGTTTTTAAATTTTCTAGTTTTCCTAAATGCAGCTAAATGAAGAGAGTAGAAAGACTAACATCCCCATGTGCCCAATCCTTGCCTCAGCATCCAACGGCTCTCTCTCACTATACCTCACCATGGCTGATCACCAGCCCAGAAGTGACACTAATAATTTCTCCATAGTTCAGGTGAGCCACTGTTGCCAACATTGGGAACCCTAGGGTAGCCAGTGTGATGATGGCTGACACTGTGTAGGGATAGATGACACAGGGCTGAAAACAATGTCAGTGGCCAGTGGTGTGACTAACTTAGGGTGTTCCCAATGTATCCCCGTGTTTTATCAGCTGAATTGATGTTAGGATGATGGGAAATTTTTCAGATTTTTTCCTGGTGCCGACCTGGCGTTAGAAAAAGAAGGGGAATAGCAGTCAGAGTACAGAACTGAGAATCAGGAACACGGCTGGCTTTAGAACTTTTGGTCAGGCCTGCAAAAAAGTGTTTTTCCCCCTAGCTCCATGTTTTCAACATAACCTGTGCCACTATCACATCATCATGTCAGCCTAAGGAGTTTGGGGACGGTTAGCTAAACGATTCCTTGTGGTACCATCCACAAACTTCATGAACTAATTTTACATGGAAAGCGGCATGCAGAGGAGTGGGGGATGGTTAGGTAGTAAGCCTTCTAATGCCAAAGTGGAGCCTCACTGCTTATTCTTGCAAAGTCAACAATTAGTTTATATCAATTTATGTTTGCAAGGCCATCTTTGTAAGGAAAAGGGATAGAAAACCTTTTGTAAAACAAAAGATATGAATCTCCTTTCTGTTACTTATTCCTCCAAATTTAGGGGGGCCCATGGAGAGGGGCATCCAAGGATCTGGCAGTAATTCTTGGATTCAGTGGGTCTAACAGTGCAGAGTTTCTCAAGCTGCTAATGGCTGGCTGATTGCATGGCTCTCTTCCTTCCTTTCAGCTGCAACAATGTGTTATAAGACAGCTAACACACATCAAATGATTTCCTAATATTACTTTTCTGTGCAAACAATAACTGCAATTGTCACAGGGATGACACAATGTGTAATCCCAAATGGGGGAGGAGATAGCACAATGGATTGCAAAGGGACTGGAGGGGTCCAAGAGGCACTCACTCTGCTAAGGTGAGGTCCTCACTACCAAAGAGTTTAGGAACACGTGATCTATTCTAGATGTTTCAGGTACTTCAAGGGTACCCATCACCATAGTACATAAGTACTAATTTTAGCTCTTAAAACTGACTCTCTTGTGACTTTGGATATTCACAACTTCAGTTTCTGTAAAAGGATAATATTTATTTCCCTCTTTCCTGGAGGGGTGGGGGCCTTCAGATGTAATTACTTAATTTTAATACAGTGCTTTGAAGACGAAAAGCCTTGTATTAAAAGTGCTTAGGATTATTATTAGTTCCCTGAAAGTTACCAGCCCAGCCACCACTGATGGTCGTGATTTTTCTTGTAGAAGATGCTGCTGCAGGTTCTGATGAACCTTCTGACACTAAAAACAATCAGCCACATATATCAATCCAAGCATGCAATGAAAATGAGTCATCTGCATTGGAATCCAAGGATCTCAAAGAACACTTAATAACAAGGAAATGATGGATTATAAAGCCAAGCAGCGCTTTTATATGCCAAGAGAATGGGACCAAATTCAGAACCTCAGTAGTTTCTTCACTTGTTATGTTTCCTTTGATACCAGGAGTTGTGTATGCCAGAGTATGATGTGGAGCATGATTGTGGGGGACCAAGACTTTGGACACTACTGCCAAAAACAACAAGCAAAAGGTGACTACCCACGCTGTAATTATTATACACAGAATGAAGAGGGGATCTAATTTTTCAACTACTCTCCCCACCTACACTTTCTCTCCCTGCAGTTCCTATGCTGTCTGTCTTGGATACAGCATATTCCACGTAGCTGATTCTCAACAAGACTTAGAAACAATCATTTAAGAGGCTAGCAGAAATCATTACCCAGTAAAGATGGTCTTTTGCTCTTTATACAAGTCAAACAAAATTATACTGGAAGCTGAGGGAATATTTAAAAGTGCTCAAGGGAAAAACTGCCTATTGGACGGTGTCCTTAGTGTAGGCTAAAATAAACGTGTATTTCTTGCTAATCTAATTTACTTATCCCTAGTTTTTCCATTGAGTATCATTAGAATTTGTCCATGCTTACAAACTTTGTGATTTTTTTAAGTGAGTGAACTTGCTGGCTAAGTTTGTTTCCCCAAACTCTTAGAGCTCTAATGATCATACCTTGGCATGCTTCTTCTTTAAAGCATTCAGCTCTTTCTGTTGTTTCTTTAAATACTTTATGTAAGCCTACAAAAAAGGAACTTGGATCAATTTTCCTGTAGTCATAATGACTGACACCAGATAAAATCTCACTGTTTGCAAATATATGTATGGTCCTGCAAAGTTTATGCCCAAACTTACCTTCATTTGCTTTAAATCTTCTATCTTCACTTGAGGAATAAGTTCTATACCTAGAAGGCATTAATACATTTTATCTGGAACTTCAAACACATTAGTACATATCACAGTTTTTGTATTTAACTTCACCACAACTTCTATTTCTGTTAGACAGTAATTAATGTGTGTCACATTAAAATGTATAATGTAGACAAGCAATTGAGTTCCATTTAAAAATAATGTAACTGTTGAGACATGGGAAAGATATGTTTAATTCAGTACTGCACCATCCATCATCTTACTGGTGTAAGGAGAAAATATAGCAATAGCTGCATTCCAGTCTCTTTTCATTCCCAACTTGAGTGTCAAACAAGAACAAGACAAAGAGTTTGTAAAAATCACTTGCTCAGAAATAGAGCAGACCACGTGTCAATTACGCAATTGACCTCTCATTAGGTTCTGGCAAATGCTGTTTTCACTGGCATATCTCAACAGTCTTTTAGTTACAAAGTAGTATTTTAAATGTTAATATTGAAACAACAACGTCAATATGATTCCATGAGAAATCTAACAGGCAAGACCCTCAATTCTTACATGAAACGTTGGGTCAATCACTATATTACATCTTGCTTATTTAACTAACTACCTTAGGGCAGGTCTAGACTTAAAACACTTACTGGCGCAGCTCCGCCGCTGTAGAGCTTCAGTGAAGACGCTACTACACCGACAGGAGAGTTTCTCCACTTGGCACAGTTAATCCACCTCTGCGAGAAGCAACAGCTACGTCAACGGGAGAAGCCCTCCCGTCGACACAAAAACATAGGACTGGAAGGGACCTCAAGAGGGCGTCTAGTCCAGTCCCCCGAACTCAAGGCAGGACTAAGTATTATCTAGAGCAGTGTTTCCCAAACTTGGGACGCTGCTTGCTCAGGGAAAGCCCCTGGCAGGCCGGGCCGGTTTGTTTACCTGCCGTGTCCACAGGCTCGGCCGATCGCGGCTCCCACTGACCACGGTCCGCTGTGCCCGGCCAATGGGGGCTGCTGGAAGCGGCGGCCAGTACGTCCCTCAGCCTGCACCACTTCCCGCAGCCCCCATTGGCCGGGCATAGCGAACAGCGGCCAGTGGGAGCCGCGATCGGCCGAACCTGCGGATGCTGCAGGTAAACAAACTGGCCCAGCCCACCAGGGGCTTTCCCTGAACAAGCGGTGTCCCAAGTTTGGGAAACACTGATCTAGACCATCCCTGACAGGTGTTTGTCTAACCTGCTCTTAAAAATCCCCAGTGATGGAGATTCCACAACCTCCCTGGGCAACTTATCGCAGTGCCTAACCACCCTGACAGTTAGGAAGTTTTTCCTAATATCCAACCTAAACCTCCCTTGCTGCAATTTAAGCCCACTGCTTCTTGTCCTATCCTCAGAGGTTAATGAGAACAATTTACCTCCCTCCTCCTTGTAACAACCTTTTATGTACTTGAAAACTGTTTTCATGTCCCCCTTCAGCCTTCTCTTCTCCAGACTCAACAAACCCAATATTTTCAATCTTCCCCAATAGGTCATGTTTTTTAGACCTTTAATCATTTTTGTTGCTCTTCTCTGGACTTTCTCCACTTTGTCCATCTCTTTCCTGAAATGCCCAGAACTCAACACAATGCTCCAGTTGAGGGCTTTTTTTGTAATAATGTTACACTATTGACTCATACTTAGCTTGTGATCCACTATGACCCCAACGATCCCTTTTCTGCAGTACTGCTTCCTAGGCAGTCATTTCCCATTTTGTATGTGTGCAACTGATTGTTCCTTCCTAAGCAGAATACTCTGCATTTGTCCTAACTGAATTTCATCCTATTTACTTCAGACCATTTCTCCAGTTTGTCCAGATCATTTTGAATTTTAATCCTATCCTCCAAAGCACTTGTAATGCCTCCCAGCTTGGTATAGACAGCAAACTTTATAAGAGTACTCTCTATGCCATTATCAAAAGTATTGATGAAGATATTGAACAGAACTGGACTGAGAACTGATCCCTGCAGACCCCACTTTGCACTGTCTATACTGGGGGTTAGGCTGGTATATGCGCATTGCTGAGGGGTGTGGATTTTTCACATCTCTCTGCGACATAGTTATACATATATAAGTTGATAACGTAGACCTGGCCTTAGTGTCCTTAACTGTAAAATGCCATCTGTCTGACAAAGGATTATCTGCCTTGTAAGGTGAATTCCACTGAACAACAGTCAGATCTTGCAAAATAAAGACAATTTCTGCAGAACAGGTGAAATTTTAATCTGAGGACCTTAACATTCAGCCCCCATGATATATTATTTCTGAGTTAGCACCATGCAGGTGCTTTATAAGACACAAAGACAGAGGGGGAAGTTTTCAAAGATATAAATAGGAGGTTAGGCGCTTGCCTCCTATTGCAAGTCAATGGGAGCCGGGTGCCTAACTCTCATTTGTGCCTTTGAAAGGCTCCCTCAGGCTCCCGTACTTTGCTGGATATGTTACTCCCATGGACCTCAGTGTGAACTGTGCATTTTAGTGTGTGTAGAATGATGCAGGTATTAACAAATAATAAAAATTTATAATAGGATAATAAGGATAGTCACAAAGGACCTGCTCTATTATTCCACAAGTGGACAGGAGAGAAAAAGGGGGACGCAGAGCAGATGGCAAATGTACAAGCACTGAAATCAAGGCTTAAGAAATTGTGCTGCCCAATGTTTGTTGTGATCTAAAATGAGAGTTTCGGATTTTCTTTTGAAAACGCAGACTCCCTATTCATACTTACTGCTTTGTTATTATATGTGTGGAACTACATTTCCAGCCAAGAATAATGACGTTTCAGTAATCAGCCTGAAAATATACGTCCTCAGCCTAGTAACTGTGAATTCACACACGCTCCTAATTAATATCCAATAAGTTTACTACCACAGTTTTGTGATGAAATATGAATGTCTACAGTTCAACAGGTCACTCTTTTCACATTTATATCATAGTATCTCAATTCACAAAAAGATTGTTTTACTGGTAAAGGGCGAATGAAGTACTTTAGATTCCAAACATGACCTGCTTTACTCTGAAAAGTGACTATAGAAATGTCATCTTCTTTCCCAACAGCTCTGCTTATTTGTGTATTCAGCCCTACCTGCTAACTTTCATGCCAGAAAGAAGTTTGTGCTGCTTTTTACGCGTGTTATCCCTGCCAAACCAAGGCAGCCACCAGAGAATGAGCTGGATTCCATTCCTCCTGGCACATTAACAGAAATGTTTAGCAAGTTTCACTCAGTAATACCTGTGCAAACCCATTTGGCCCCACAGACCCTTTATCGTCTGTGACGATGTATGAGAGAGAAAGAACCCACTTGGTTCTCAAAGACGACTTTGCAGGACAAGCAGTTAGGAAAAAAACACCTATCTGCTTATAAACTGAGCACATTTGATACGGAAATATTTGATAATAAACATGGGTGCCCACAATGCCAGTTTCATAGACACTTTTCAGAATATGGCCACACTTTAAAACATTTCTAATTTGATGGGGGATCTCCGCAGAATCCTAAATACCTGGTTTTTATTTAAATCAACCACTCTGCTGAGGAATTTTTAAAACAAAAGAATTTTTGTGAAATATACAAGAAAACAGCCTTCCCCGCTAGGCCAACTCTGGTAGGTCATTAATAAATATTGTTACCAGTGTCATGCATATTCCTGCTGAGAGCTTTGACTACACTGGTGCACAAACATGACATTTATTAAAATCCAACCATGTTGGCTTCTGCACCAAGAGAAATATGGTTAAAACAGTATTTGCCAAGTGGACAGAGACACCACTCATACAGAAAGATGTTACTTTTTGAGCTTTTCAGAGGGATTCGAAATTACAGAAAGTACAAAACTAAAAACCAGGTAGTACTTCTTAGTGCCCTTCTAAGCCATTTAAAGGAGAGAAAGCTCATTTTTCTTTACCTTTCTTAGTTTCCATCCCAGGTCCAAGGCCGGAAGTGGTACTCGGTCTAAGTTCAGAGCTACTCTGAGGAGTCACACTTGCTTTGGCATTATTAGCTTTTCCTTTCTTATCATTCTTTGAAGTGTCATTTGGTACATCAGCTATATCACTCTGGAAAAACCATTATTACAAAATATCATTTGCAGGGGGTAAAGAAATGAAGTAATTTACTTTTAAAGAAAATTCCCCTTATATTTGCTAATACTTCTCGACAAAAAATATTTTCAGATGAAGAATTTATAATCTATTTTTACTGAAAATTAATAAGGATGGCTCCTTTCTAATTTTAGACACATGGATATGCTGCCGTGACTGATAAAAAAATCCCTCATGACGGTGACTATATTTGGAAATGCAGTGAAGGGTATTTTAATAAATCTGACAACACATATTCATGTATTTAAGAGTAGAACAGCTCTATATTTGAAAACAGAGACTAAGAGAATAACTTGCATTAATGACCAATTTATCAACAGGAGAACTGACCAAACATTGTGGCCCAAATCTCATTGCAGAGGTTTTACTTCTTGTAAAGTGAAGCCTGTATTTTGCATTGTCCATAAAGCGAACCCTGTATTTTGCACTACCCTATATGGAATTATTTTGCCTATGTTCATAATTACTTTCTACTTACAGTTTCAATACCCATAGCTCTCATCTGGTCTGCTCTTTTTTCCATGACAGATAAAAATTTCTTTGGGTCTGACAAAGCATCCACAATATCTGAAAGAAAATGAATATTTATCAGGTTTTCAACATTTTAAGAGTCATTCAAAAAGCACAAAGCACAATGTAATTAGCAAAAAGAAAAGGAGGACTTGTGACACCTTAGAGACTAACAAATTTATCTGAGCATAAGCTTTCATGAGCTACAGCTCACTTCATCAGATGCATGCAGTGGAAAATACAGTGGGGAGATTTATATACACAGAGAACATGAAACAATGGGTGTTACCATACACACTGTAACGAGAGTGATCAGGTAAGGTGAGCTATTACCAGCAGAAGAGAAAAAAAACCTTTTGCAGTGATAATCAAGGTGGGCCATTTCCAGCAGTTGACAAGAACGTGTGAGGAACAGTGTGTGTGGGGGGAATAAACATGGGGAAATAGTTTTACTTTGTGCAATGACACATCCATACAGACTAACTCCGCTGCTACTCTGAAAAATGTAATTTAGCTTTCACAAAGGCTTTATTCTAGTGTTGCCACATGTTCCACAGTCCTCAACACTGGGCCAACTTTTCATAGTAAACCTGGTAGGAGTGGGTAAGCTTTTTTAACGTAGTCTCTCTCCCTTCCCTCATCACAAGAGAGAAAGAGAGAGAAAAGGAGATTAAAATTTCATGATTATACACATCTGCTCAGCATCCTCCCCGATTCAAAAAAGTGAAATGTATATTTCAAGGTTACTCTAGTTCTATCTTGGATCAGCCATGGCATATTAACCATCACGTGAATTTTCCTCTCTAAGAATCCTACTCTTTTTCAAGCACTTATACGGTCCCCATCACTACAGTCTCTGTGAGCATTAGGAACATTACTAGATTTATCATCACAGGACTCTCATTAGGCACGGGAGTATTATTACTCCCATTTTAAGGTGGATAATTTAGGCACTGATTGAGTAAAGGCCTAATCCAAAGCCCAGTGAAGTCTATGAAAAGGCTCCCACATCAAAGGGCTTTTGACCAGGCCATAATAATAATATAGCACTTTTCATTAGTAGAGCTCAAAGCACTTTACAAAGGTGATCAGTAGCATTGTTCTTATTTTACAAATGGAGGGGAAACTGAGGCACAGAGAGATGCGACTTGCTCAAGGTCATCCAGCCGCCAGTGGCTGAGCCAGGAATAAAACCCAGGTTTTCAGAATCCCAGGCCAGTGATCTATCCACTAGGCCACACTGCCTCCCTTCAGACATAGGTTGTATTTTTTTCTCTTGGTTGCCAAAGAGCAGGCTTATCAATCTGGAAGTAAAGATGCCTTCACGCAAACCGTTCTAATATTTGCCATGGCTCACAGGTGAAGGGAACTAATTGTTTTACACGGGTGGCCTAAACAATAGTACAACTGCCATAATTTATTTACAGAATTCCCCCTGCATGACTCATGACTACTCATGCCACTCACCCTGCCGAGGCCCAGACGTGGGATGCAACATGAGGGACATAAACGAATGAATAAGTGAGGGTTATATTGTGACATCACCTTCTGCTGCCTCTTCCACCCGTCTTCTAGGGGACAGAATGCCCCGAATGCTGCTGGGGCAGGAGAAGCTCATTTAGTTGTTCTCTCTTCTACCCCTCACCCCTGAGTGGTTCTGCTGCCTGCTATTAGAGAGCAGCTGTAAAATCACTTTTCAGTCTTATCTGCTTGTGAGTCTCACCCTGGCGTAACTATGGGCCATCATTTCTCCCCTAGTGCAGGCTTTATACCTGGAATAACTTCACACATTGACATTCTGCAACTGCCTTCCCTTAAATCTGCCAAAAGAATGTAATAAGTCCCCTTCCTTTTCCTAGAAGCATCCCAGCTACAAGCAGTATTCTTCACTGACTTTTATTCACACTGCACATACTGCATCAACTTGTGTATTTAGATCTTGATTTAACGAGGTGCCTAAGCCCACGCCACCTTGAAACACGAGGGCAGTCCGACTGACTTCAATAAAACTACTCATGCCTTTCAAATCAGGCACAGGCTCGAGTTCTTTGCTGAACTGAGGCCTGATCATGGGCTGCTGAAGAAAAGAGGAGTTTTGCTATTCGCATCAACAGGCATGGGATTAAACTGTTGAGGGCTCGACATGGCAAGCTCTTTGGAGCAGGTATAATTTAACCACTGCACAGTGCCACGCACATTTACAGCACGATATGAACAACAGTATCCCTGACTCCCTGGACCGTCATGATAAACATTCACGTTTACCATATACAATGGTTTATACTGGTTAGTTGAATCAGGAAACACTTGGCGACAATTTAAGACCTTAATACACAGATGGCCCCAGTTGTGATCTTTGTTATTCTAGGGGCAAACCAGAATCAGGCCCAAAGAGAGTTCTGCTAGTTTCATGTACTTGTCTCTTTGCTATATGGCAGTGTGTAAAAATCAATACAATGGAAATTAAATTAACATTTGCACCTCATAAGAAATATTATTTTATGGATTATGTGCCATGTGTTTTGTGTACGTAGCTATGAATGTGCAACTGTATACAGACAGCTATGCAGTGACACATCAGTCCTTGCTTCTGCAGAAAATATATCTTTTCAGGCCTTGATTTACAGATAATCAAGTAACTCACAAGTGGCAAAGACAGGTCAGCCATAATGAGAAATGCTGCGTGACAAATGAAATTGATTTCAGTATCTACAGTAGTAAAGCATCCACAGAAAGTAGCCAGGACCGGGTGATCCCTGTGTAACTTTAAACTTCACTAATTCTCAAGATGACCTGGACAGTGAAAAAGCACATCAGCTGAAAGTAAAAAGAGTCCCTAAGGACATTCCTTTGAGCAGAATTACCATTTTAAGGATGGCAGGCTTCCATGATAAGGAAGAAGATAACCACTCACGCAGGACATTAATGAGTTGAAATACAATTAATATTTTAATGTTTCAAGATACTGCCCCTTTCCTGCATGTGAAAAGACAGTCACTCGGGACTATTAAATAGGCCTCCCAGTTGAAGAAGTGTCACACAGAAATCCAGAGTGCATCCATTCGCGTGTCTAAAAGCTGTATCTTGATTCAACCATTCGTTATAAAATATTGTACATATTATGCCTGAGCTTTTGCCATGACCGTCATGGATGATGTTCTCACTTAACTGTATTTTGAGGGAATGCAACTGATGACATTCCCCCAACTAAACCTTTTCTCACATGCTGGAAAGAGAGTAGTGAGTTCAGTTACTGCCCCTCAGACACAACACCATGTGCACAGTGGATTCTTTTTATTCAGAATGTTGTCATGTAATAAAGTAAACTCATCTTCCAGTTGCTTATCAGTAAAGATAAACCTTTCTGTGGCCTTGCATTCCAGATAGTCTCAGTAATGTAATGGCTCTGTACTTCTAGAGTGATGGTTTTGGCAGTCAACGTTTTCATAAAGATTTGAATTTTATTTCACATACCAGAATCCTGTCTCAAGTCATAGCTATTTTCAAAGTAACTAGTTGTGATGTCATAGATAAAATATGGGACTAGGGACACATGTGCCAGTCCAGGAAAAACATATTAACCCGTTAGAATTTTGGGGATAATCTTGCAGTCCTTACTCATGCAAACTTCCCACCGAAGTCACTGGAAGTTTTGCCCAAGTGAAGAAAGAAGGATCAGGCCTTCAGTCCTTAGTATCTACTTGATCCGTATACGAAGATAGTTTGTGCGAGATACGAAAGCTGCATTAAATAATATTTTTCACCTAGACAGCTCAAGTTAACCACCCAAAAAACAGACTGTTCCAATACCACTGTTCCCTACCAATTGGTATCTTGTGTCTCTCACTCAGCGTTATTTCCCACAAATATCAAATGGACAGACATTTATCCCAAGCACATAATGGCCCCAACAACCTGAATATTTTCCCTTCCTTTAACTGAGCCAACTACCCTTCCAATCCCTAGAACCTACACTTCAAAGAAAATCCATGCCTGCCTTGTTCCTGCAACCATCACATAGTATTTGAAAATGGAACTTGAATATTAAGAACTTTCAAGTAAAAAAAACCCCTCCTTATGTGTGTGGGAGAGTGAGACCTTTGCAAATTGTGTTACCCATCATTTATACACCTCGCCAAAGGCTCAGCATTTCTACTGGAGGTAAATGATTCACCGCTCTTTTCTACCCCACCACTTGTCCTCTGCTTCAATTTTCCTTTTTTACGGTCTTTTTGGTAAGGTAACTGGATACCAAAAAGTTTTAAAGCTATGAGTTAAAAAACAACAACAAAACCACTTGTGTATAACCAGTATAGCCTTGGGAAGCATGTGTTCTAGAAGCAGAAGTCCCGTCACGACTGTATGTAACAGTGCTTGCTTATTAGGTACACTATCTATATGAAATAAAAGCCTCTCTTTGAAATCTGCTGCCTCATTTGGCATTTCTTCAGAACGGATGTGTGTCCCATTGGCTATTAGGAGCAGGGGAACTGAAGCTGATAAACCATAGAAAATTAGCAAACCACATCAAAAAAAGAAAATGGTGCACATTTCTTCCTAACCCTATCATAAAGCAATCATGAATCATTATTATTTGGCATGAAAGACGTTCTTAAATCTTACTCCTACAGGTTCAAAAGGAAAGTAGCTGAAAATTAAGGTTCTTGACTCTTTGCCCAAACAATCTAGTTACAAATCAGAGACAGTAATTGAATTGTAGTTCATAAAACAATGTAAAATGCAGAACAGATGACAAGTACTCAAAAGCCACATGTAAACAGAATAGTCATGATGCCGTTTGAACATCAAAAGCAACATCTCAAGCTCTTTTGGTCATCAGGCTATTGATCTATATCAGTGAGAAAAAAAGGGTGACAAGCCAAAAATGACTGTCGTTGGGAAAGGAGAAACAACAACTGAGCTTGTTGAGTTCTCATTAGTACAGAGCCCATTTCCCCTACACAGGCAACAAGATATTACATATAGTTCCCTCATCCTAGCAGTATTTCACTTTAATGATGAACCTACTCGGGGTAAACATTTTTTTTTCTTCACACCCCTTACACCTTACGGATAAACCACCTGGAGTAACGTTGGCAATTTAGAAGATCAGCCGACACTGAACTTTTACACAGCTCGCCTTTTACAAACTGATTTTGAAATCCTCTCTGGGGAAAAGAAGGTTGTATCATTTTTGGATTTGTGTGTGAGCAAACCCCCAAACCTCTGCAAACGGAAGAGTTAACAGTAAACACAATGGAACTTCACTTATGTCACATTAACTGGGTTCCAAACCTTTACAAAATGTCTGGTCCCAATTCAGGGCCTCATCCTGATTCAGGACAGCGCTTTGTGCTGTCCACAGCAGCCTCGACTGAGGCTCATGCTAATGTTCTTTTCTGAACTGGGGCCCTTACTGGTAAAAACTGTTGGTTAAAAACCCAATGTTTTCATTCAATGAGCAACTGCCTCGTACCAATCAAGTCAATGGCAAACCTCTCATTGATTTCAGTGGGGGGCGCAGGCGGGGGGGGGTGGGTCAACATTTAACTTATTATTTTTTGCTATAAAAGGCCCTGATCCTGCAAACAATTATGTATATGCTTAACTTTAGGCAAGAGAGTTGTCCCATAAAAGCCAGGGCCTATGTTTTCTCCTTAAAGTTTGATTGGAAATCCTAGCAAATGGTGTATGTATGGTTTTAATTATATTTGGTAAAATTAGTCCCTTGAACAATTTCGCGCACGCTCTCTTTCTCTACTTTTTACTACTGAAAATCCAATCCACATTAAAGTTGTAGTAATTATTGTGTACAAAACCCAGTGACCTTTACATTTTGAATTAGTTTTACAAAGTGCAAAAAATAATTTTTCCAACAAGGTTTCCCAAAAATCTCTTCAAGGGTGAAGTTCAGAGGGACAGAACAAGGCCTATGGACCACTTAAAATCCAATGTGAGCCCTAATTTGAGGTCTTAAATGGGATACAGGCGGTACATGGGCCGTGCACTAGCCCTCTATACAGGAGCAAATTTCATCCCACCTAAAAAAGAACATTTCTCAGTGCCAAATGCTTAATGAAAGTGGAAAGATTCTAGTACACCGACCTGCAGTTTAAAAATACTAAGACTTAGGGCAACTAAAATACATATAAGTTGAAGGAGTACATCCATGCTCTTCTGCTACTCTGCTGCACTTGGATTTGCTACCTAATCTGCATCACTGGTAGCACAATAATGGTGACGTAACTTTGCTGGCAGTTCTTGGTGTTTACTACTGTTAGACCTAGGCCTCTACTCAAATTTCTGTGACTGCTTTTAAAAAGTGGTTTCAATAAAGTTATGCTGGTATTTTTTATTCAAGCAAACATACTGATACAGCACTGTTGTAGGAGCAGTGTCAGAGACCTATCTATGATAACATTTATCTTGAAAAGATAAAAGTTTGTCTTGTAAAGAGAAAAATAACTAGAGCAAGTTTTCAGAGATCAGGCAAAGAGGGCTATCTCAGGGCTGTGAAGATAATAAGGGTGGCAACTTTAAACACTGGCAGTAGGGTTGCCAGCCTTCCAGGATTGGCCTGGAGTCTCCAGGAATTAAAGATTAATCTTTAATTAAAGTTTATGTCATGTGATGAAATCTCCAGGAACACATCCAACCAAAACTGGCAACCCTAACTGTCACTAATAAGTGATGACTAAGATTTAATTTAAAGAGTGGTGTGAAGTATGCAAAACGGGGGGGGAGGGAGAAAAGGATCACTTGTAATTGCAAAGTTTATTAATACTTGAAAATTCAGCACCTTGCGTGTCCACTTTTCAGAGCAGGAGTATTTAGAAGAATGGTTAAAGTACGCTTTAAAAAAGACCAGCATCTTGTTTGCACCCTAGACTATGAAACTACAATATATGTTTTAACTTAGACATTTACTCCAATTAATATATCCAATGAGTTCTTTCAAAGGGATTAAGAGATTCAAAAGAGATTAAGTACTGGCAAATTGAACAAATTCAGGTAACCTTGGGAAATGTAATTGTAGCTTTGTTTCTTTCCAAACTAATAGAAATCACTGTCTTGATTTTGAATTTTGAAGGCTACATTCTCTTCATTGCTAATATTAAGGCACTTGAGACAAAAGTAAAGATATCTTAACCAGACAGAAGGAACTTTCCTACAGATTCGCAGATAAACGTTCTTCCAGTGCTCCAGGGATCCCTTATTTTCTATTGCACAACGAATTTATATTCCTTGCGTACTAAAACCCAAGATTCACGAAGCTGTAATATGTGTTTCTTCTTACCTCCAAAACCATCAGGCACATATGTTTTGAGCACAATGTTGCAGAAAACTGTGGGCAGAGATAGTGGTTTGTTGCCTTCATTTCGAAGGGAAATGTGTCTGTAGCCTGCCTGAAGGCCATCAAGAGGCAGGATCCTCTGACCGATCAGCTTGTTGTTGTCATCATACACTGCTATTCTCAGAACAGCGAGATCAGGTAGAATAACCTGGGAACCCATAAAATAAAGACATTCATTGACTCTCACAATGTTGCAAATTGCCCAAGTACCACACATGAAAGCATCCAGAGATCACACAACATAGTGGATGTCCATTTCCACTACTGGTAAGTCAGAAGCACAATCTACTTATCTCTATAAGAGAATACCATCACCCTTTGCTGGATGCAAGCTGTCTGCTTTCAGACATGGAGGCATTACTGGAAAAGTTTAGTTTCTCACTCTCTCTCGTTCTTGGTGTTAGTTTTTTGGAGCACAGAAATTGCTCGTGGAAGAATTCTCCAGATCGTAATCAAAATAATTAAATATTTTGCTTATTTATTTTTCATCGCTGGAGGCCGGTGACCCCTGAAAGTGGGCAGGGAGTAGCAGAGACACAAACTGGTAGTCGAAGGCAGACGGGTAATGTTGGGGTCAGGGGAAAGGCAATGACGGGGGGGGTACTTGGAAAGGACATCAATAACAGAATAAGGGTGTCGAGAAGGAGGAAGAATGGGGTGTTACACACTGTCGGAGGGAGATGATGTGATGTGAACACAGCTGGAGAGGTCTGGTGGGGAAGAGGGTGACACGTACATTATAAGGCAACGGAAGGAGGGCAATACACAGTGGGAGGCCTGGTGCTGGTGGGGAACACTCTCAGCAGGGATGGGTGTGGGGGTTCGCGCAGAGGGAAGAGGTAGTGGTTGCTGGACAGTAGGTCCCTGAAGCTGTTCACAGGAGTGACCCTTATTCATGTGAGCAGTCACACTGAAGCAAAGGGTACCTGAAGCTGACAGTTCCCATCCTGACCAACAAAAGCAACAGCAGAAATTCCTTGCAGTCCCACCTGAATTCAAAAGGGCTAGCCTGAGACCTATTCCACCTGCTTCCTCAGAAAGGTGATCAGGGATAGGACTGGAGGAGAGAGGATTCCCTGCACCAGGAATGTCTGTACAGGGCAAGCCAGCAATCTTTCATTCCCAGTCTGTCTAAACTGCAGGCCAAAAATGGCCCTGACAGCGGGAGTGGGTAAGAGACACAGAGAGGAAAGGAATCAAGAGGACCTGACCCAGAAAGGAATCAATACTAATTAAAATAACACTGAGACATTACTACTTTCCTTCCTCTCTCCACCTTGCTATATTCGGTGATGCCTGAGACTGTCACTCAGAGAAGAAAATAAAACAAACTTTTCCTCCCTTGGACCTGCTGCCTTCAGTTTAAGCCTTAAGTAAAGAGCATAGAAACGAACAGCTTTTTGAACTCTGTGCATGTCTGAACTATTCACAGACACCACAGTTAACTTGCCCTGTTAAGTACTGTCTGACTGACCAGAAGTAAGCATCCTGACACACCATATCACAAGCATCAGCCCCTCACAACAGAATGACAACACAAAACTTGGGTTAGAATGGCAGAAGATTTAATATCAAACAGAATGATCAAACAGAATTCACACATTACCTGCTAGCATTTGTGTAGGGTTAATGCCATCATGGGAGGAGCCGCAGGCCCCAAGCTGACCCGACTAGGGCCACTTAAACAGCATGGTAAAATCTTCCCTTTACATGTCACAGACCAGCACACCATTCATTATGTGATGGGCTGTACTATACCACTGCTCACCACTGGTGGTATAAATTCAAGCCCCTAGCCTCTAGTTAGTTTTAACTCCTCCTCCATGATCATGGGAGGGTACCAAGGAACAAAGGTCCCTTGGTTGTTTACTCATATTATACTTACAAGGGGTCAAGTTGTGACAAATGAGTTACTATGGAATTGGAGTGGCAAATCATAGTTTATTGTACAAGCATGTGTCCTCTCAGTGGGAAGAACCCAAAGGGCAGCAGATGCAGGTCATCTGGTTACCCAGCCCAGGGCAAGGATGCACATCTGGGACTGCCCACGGTGAACTTAAAGCATTTCCTCTTGCCTATTTCCTCGGCCCCTATGCAGGAAATCACTTGAACACATTCTTAAGTTCATCCCTGTTCAGGACGCCATTAAATATGTACTGAATAGGGATGCGTTCCTGAAATGGGGTCCCAGCAGCACAGCATTAGGACAAGTCCCCTCCCAGGAGATCTGAGTCCACTACATTTGCTACACTGGAAGCAGATTATCTGTGTTACACAATATACATATAAATACAGTATGATCAGCAGGCAAAACCTGTCACGAAAGAAAAACAGTAAAAATTCTGCAGGACAACAGAACAGGTGAAAGGAAAACACACATTATCAAAGACGGCACTGTTAACGCATGTATTTTGGATGAAACTCCAGTTGACAAAAAAAAAATAAAAATCAGACCGAGAGATAAATACTGAACGTTTGAGATGACGACTGATCTCCCACTGTGAGTCCACCATACAGTACCAGGGAAAGGTGGTGGAGGTGGGGTTTTTTTTTTTTTCAGTACATGATACACATGGTCTACAGGAGAAGGGAGCTGGCCATGTGTGTGAGGAAGACAGCACCTTTCCATTTTTTCCATGTAATGACATTGACCTTAGCTTTGGATGCAGCATCTCACCTGCCCTCTTGGCTGAAGGAACAGTGCAAGATAGCAGCCACTGTCAGGGCAGGGAAGAAGACATCTCCAGGGAATGTTGGTGTCCACCAGCTGGAGCTCATTCTGAGCAGACTGCATACCTGGAACACAGGCATTGCCACGAAGGACGTGGGTTCCTCCAAGAAGGAGGAGGAAGCAAAAAAGAGGGAAAAGCCAAACAGACAAAAAAAAAATAATGTGACAACTACAGAGGTTATCCACAAAAAAAAAAAAAAACGTTGAAAGTTTAATTCAGCCTTAATGGTTGACCGGTTGACTGTGCTAAACGTTAAGTCCTACAAATTTAAGGTCCAATCCTGCAAATCCTTGTTCATGGGAGTGACCCTTGTTCATGTGAGCAGTCACACCGAAGCAAAGGGGATTGCTTATGCAAGTAAAGAATACTCACATGGGAAAGGGTTTGCAAAAGCAGGCTTCAAAACACCCAAGTGTACATTCAAAAAATCCTACCTTTCGAAATACAAATGATTCTTCATTGTAAACAGGGTTCAGGCCATTGTTCATCACCATGCGGGTTCGAAACTCTTTACGTATCGTGTCCGTAGGTAACCCGTACATATCCACTTCTACATACGTACCAATTTTTTTATCTGATAAGAACTGACCAGATATTACCTGAAAAAGAAGAAAAGGAATTAAATACACTCCTCTGATCTAAAGAAAGTAACAATATAAAACATACAGTACTTTATGATGAGTGGAAATAATGTCACTTGTATTCTTTATCAAATAACAGTATTCACATGCGTTCATTATACAGAGCAGTCATATTCATTTAATAGTGTAATTTTTTTTTCCTCAGCATCGAATAACCACTAAATTTCACGTTCGCACATTTGGTTTTGTAAATAAAAGGTAATTCTTTACGATTTTTATGAATATGTGCACACACAACAAATTACAGTTAAATGGTATTACACAGCGTGGAAATCAGTAATGAATTTGGCCTATTTATACAATGTATATTTACTAGTATCACCTATTTTTTAAAATTAGATTCCATGCTGATATTACGCATCTGCATGAGTAACAAGTAAACCGCGTCTTTTCTGATAGGGTTCCTCTTTTACATTTCGGGGGTTTTATGCTGAATTTTAGGGTTAATGAAAGTGAGAGGCTGACTGCATGTACATTCTAATAACAGCCCCGTGGGAAAGTCATATTGTTCCCGCTGCTTTTCAGGAACTGCTGCTGTGCATGCAATATTCTCAGCTCCAAGGCCTCATGACAGGACAGGACTGAAGAACAGGCATAAGCACTTTGCTGGGTCGTGAGCTCACTGCAAACATTGAGTGCTGCATAAACCCACATGTGGAAGTGCTCTATTGTGCAGTAGGTTTTATAGTGGTAGAGGGACTGGCTTTTCTCTCATGAACTTGTACATTCAAACCTTGGTTTGGGTCACACGTAGTGTCTTTCTCAAGTTTGCCATATCAGATCAAAAGAATGGGCAACGTTGGCAGACTTTTGCTCAAGGGGCACCTTGGCTTATGACAGCAGATGAATCAATTCAGAACTGAGATACTTTTTCAAAGCGGGACTAGATTGTTCCTTGGTAACAGGCATATGAAGCCTTTCACCTCTAGGTCACTGCCACTGGGGTAACTGCAAGTTACTGTAATCTCACTTACTCGGTGGCCTATTTAAAATGAGTTGGTGGCATCAATACATTGGGTAGCAGACGTGTAAACTTTGCCTAACTTCTATCATAATTGGCACTAACAGACAAACGTGATGGTACATTTGAACAGAGGGCCAATGATCTGGTGGAGGTGGAAACTCAGTTATCTTTGTTTTCTTCTGATTACTTGTATTACCACAGTGCCTAGGAGACCGAAGTCATGGATCAGGACCCCGTTGTGCTCGGTGCTCTGTAAACAAAGAATAAAAAATGGTCCCTGCCCCAGGGAGCTTACAATCTTAACACTCTAACTGTAGTTCCTACAAAACAGGATTGCCTCATATTGGTGAGGTGGTACCTAGGGGAGTTTATGCATTGCTACTTCATATGTTGTTCTATGGACATCCACCTTCAGCATTGTCATTCCAGCACCCTTTAAAAAAACTACATTTTCTCTAATGCTTTTACAAAGATGTGGACTGGCAGAGCTATATGGTGAAGGTTGCCCTGAGCCTGTCTGTACTATGCCTTGCTCAAGCCAGTGAGAATCTGATCCAGCAAAGCACTTAAGCACGTGCTTAACATTAAGCACATGAGCGGTACTACTGATTTTAATGGGTCTAATCACTTGCTTAAAAGTGCATTGCTGGTATCTAAAGACCTTCATTGGAAGAAAATGCTCGGCAATAAAAGTCTCTTTAATTTATCAGCGAAAGATGTAACAAGAACCAATGGCTGGAAGATGAAGCCAAACAAATTCAAATGAGAAAGAAGGCCCAAATTTTTAACAGTCTTCAAATATATTAAGGGCTGTTATAAAGAGAACAGCGATCAACTGTTCTCCATGTTCACTGAAGAGTGGACAAAAAATAAGGGGCTTAACTGCAGCAAGGGAGATTTAGGTTAGATATTAGGGGAAACTTTTTAACTATATGGCTGGATGTTATTGCTCTACTTTAGTTTCAGTGCATTCTACGAGCCACTTCCACATGGTACTCACTAAATACGCAAATCTAATTTAATATAACATCTCTGTGCAATGCAGAATACTTAAAAAAACAAACAAACTAGTGTAATGGAAGCCTATTACAGGATTCCTCTCCCTCTCTCTGCACACAAATATCTTGAATTTGCTGCAAATTTATTCCAAGTCCATATTTATCTGGCTACAGAAGACCATTTTCCTGTGACACACTTTTGTTGCACTAACATGAGGTTTTCTTTCCCAACACCGCATATGTTGTTATTCTGTACTGTCAAGGATTGAACGCAGAAATGAAACATATTTAAAATTGCACAGACCAAGGTCGATTTTGACCTGTTCTTTTCTGATGTGCACCAAAGTATCTGGTCTTACATTCTTTAATTACAGAAAACTTGAAATGACTGATTTGAGAGACAATGCAGCCTAGTGGCTTGTTCACTGGACTGGGATTCAAGACGCAAATTCTATTCCCAGCTTTGTCATTGACATGCTGTAGGAGACCTCTCTGTGACTGTTTCCCCTCCAGCCTCTCTCTGTCTTCCCTATTCAAACTGTAAATTTTTGGACAGAGACTGCCTCTTCACCATCTAGCACAATGGGGTCCTGATCTCTATTGTGGTTTCTAGGTACTACTATAAGACTGACTCAGAACCAACAAATTATGAACACAATTACCTTAGGGAACATGTGCTCTTATTCCTGTTACCCTAGTCCTCCCTTTCTTTAGGGAAGAGACAGTGCCCTCCAGTTTTTTTTGTTCAGTGCATGGGGCCCTGATTCAGAGTAGGGCCACTAAGTAATAACCCAATATAAATCATAAGTTTTGCACTTACAACAGCACTTTGCGTTTAGACAGCACTTTTCATCTGAAGATCCCATATGCTTTACAAAGAGGGGTAAGCTTTATTATCCCAATTTTACTGATGAGAAACTTGGGTAAATGTACATAATGCATGACAAACAGTCAACTGGGGATGCAGTTTGGAATTTTCACATCTTTTCCTCCTCTGGATATATATAAAGTGATCATTGAGATCACAGCATTTTCCTGAGCAGCATTCTGAGGTATCTGGAGCTAATAGAGTCCTGGCAGAGAGTGGAGGAAATGCAATAAAAGAGGTCATTCTGCAACTCTTTCCTTCCTTCCTAAAGGCTGGTAATCTCTATCCAGAGCGGGAACAGAAGATTTAGGTAAGCTACATAAACTATCCTGGGAGTTTTATGGCCTCTACTGTCTCAGAAATGATTCACAGAATTCAAAAAGTTAGGACCTCGGTAACTAACCTTTTCAGAACATTCAAATTGGACATAAATGCGGCTGCTCTATGAATGAAAAGTGTTTGTATTCCCACCCACCCCACCTTCCGCACTAATTTTCCATAACTGATTTTCCACAACTAATTCTACTGAAGCCTTGAGTTACCTTCATTTGTAGAGTAGCCATAAGTGACACCATAAATGTGGCTGCCATTTCTGAAGTTCTAGATGTACTGAAAACGTCCTACAGAAAAATTTCCATTACAAAACATTGTCTGACTCTGTGGCAACCAGTGGAACATACTTGGTTCTGAATGACCGGCAGGAATGAGCTCATATTTTATTTGGGCATGGCTGCTCTAAACCACAAAGAATAGCGGGGATTTAAAATTGAGTGACACACTTTAAATGGATAATTACAAACCATTTCTAATTATATCCTGTTCTATTCAGCTCGTGTAAACACAGATGTCATAAACAGCAATCAAATAACAATAATTAGATGAATTAGATAGAACAATTTGATGAAACCCACAAATTCCGAAGAAATTTGCTGTACATATTAGATATCCGCTTCTGTTTAAATGTGGTTTTGGATGCTCTAAGATGACTGCAGTCTCAGTTATATTTTACCTGTACTGAACAAGTTGCCGCAATAACACCATCTACTGGCGTTTCAGAGAAAGGGTCAAATGTTCGATCTGGTCGTCGCATGAAATCTGGTTTAAGGAGATACCTTATTTTGAGAAAGAGAAGAAGAAATGTATTTATGTATGGAACTTTAAATTGCCACTTTATTTATTATAAGTAATATTGATGGTCTAGCTTTAACAAATGAAATCCCCCAGGGTATTTTAAAATATATACTGCCATTCTGATTTTAATTCATGCAGCTGCGAGGAAAAAAAACCCTAAGGTGATCTGGACTAATTTTTTTTTTAAATGAATCAGCCCCCTCCCCAGCCAAGATTTAGTTAGTAAATTACATCCTGAAGTGGATTTCTTCATCTGAATTATAAACCCTTTAGGAAAAGCGCTGATAACGTTAATACTGACAGACCCTTAATTATAGTGGTGTGAATGGAACTGTGATAATACCACTTACACTGCCTCCCTGGGGACTATGCCCTGGCTCGACATATCAATGAAACCCGTTTGTGCACTGATGAGTGACAAATGAGCATTCTGATTTTAAAATAGAATGGCAATGCTTCTGGAGTTCAGCTGTGTCAGAGATGAAGGGAATTCTCTTCCAACAATGGAAGAAAACGTGCAACTTGAATCCCTTCTGAACTTAATATCTAGGAATCATCCGGCCAATTCAGCAGCTATGCACGGACAGCCGCTGTTAGACGCTCCTATTTTACCTATAACACCGTTTCTGCTCAGCATCATTACTACAAACGGTTATCAAGGTCTGGAGTGCAACCAGAAAATATTAAAAAGGTGCTGGAGGAGCTATTAGGACAAAAAGAATCTCAGTTCCACTTTCTCCCACTTTGACATCAAATTTGGTTTCTATTAAGGAAAGTAATTTTCCTCCGCATGATACAACATTATATAATGAGTGTGTGTGTCGCTTTCAAAAAGATAATCCCATCTAATCATTTAAAACAGATATTTGGAGCGAAAGGGGAACTACTGGATAGTTTTAGGATGCACTTTAGCCTTGATTGGCTGTGTTGAGGATCAGTGGGACTGACCGTGCTCGGATACTGATCTATATCTGGAGTGACTCATTGAAGCCAATGGAGTAACACCAGTGTGAAACTGGGGTAGGTCAGAAAGAAATCAGGAGGCCCACTATATCTACAGTACACTCACAGGCACAGGGAGCAGAAAATATCATACACGTTACATTTTTTTATTCCATAACACCAGCACATTTCCACCAAACAGTTCGGTGCATAAATCAGGCTTATTCTTTGGATAGTTCCAAAGGACCAAACAGCAAGGGCATTTTCATAGTGTTGTTGGGCGATGAAGCAGAGAGACCATGTGTTGCCACCCCTGAGTAATGGAGCTGTCCCAAACAGCTGCCGATAAAACATTTATACTCTATCAAACCTTCCATGTACTACGCATATTACAGAAACACTACTTTAGAAATGTTCTGGGGCATATCCAATATTCCACTATGTATCTTAGATGTCAGGGAGGCAGACAGAACCGTTCAAGCCAATGACTGACCCAGGGGTAATTTTTTGTTTGAAAATTTCTTTTGAAAGTAAAACACTTTTTTAAAAGTATGAAGGGAGAAGCAGGGAAGCATCAAGTGGGGTTCATCTAATTTCAGTCCGCACCTAGGCCACCTTTTTTTGTTGCTGCTGAGAAGGTCACAACTGCTCCATTTTGGAAAAACCAAGTGGTTTGAAGCTTGACTGAGAAACGTAACCATTTCCTGGGAAATCACCAGACACATTCCCATGCTTGTATTTAATTGTTGTTCACTGCTTTAGTACAATAATACATGCTGCTTTCTTCAATTTTTTATTATTCATTATTTGTATTGTGATAGTGGCTTGAGGCCTCAACCAAGTTGGTACCATCCCTAACAAAATGGGGCCCCAGTCACATAGTAAGAGACAGTCCCTGCTTCAGAAACCAGATAGACAAGACAGACAATGGGTGAGGGAAAGGAGATATATTACCCGCATTTTATAGACGAAAACCTTTTCTAAACTTCCATCCACTAGGTTCATACAAACTATTTCTTTCTGGATGCACTAGTATCCAGAATTAGACATCACCAGTAAAATCATATAAGGACCATCTACTTTTACAGATATTGAACATTTCGTGGCTATAACCAGCGCACTACAGCAAACAAATTACAACTACCCACCAAAATATAAAGGCTGATGTATGCAAATTCTCTCTACTGCTGAACATGCATGCAGGATACCAGATAAATGAAAATATAAATCTTATAGTGACAATTACAATAGTGAATACCAAGAATCCCATTACTAAAACAATTGTCTTGTTTTCACAGTAATTCTGAGGAAATTTAATTAGATTCTGGTCTCTTGTTTTCTAGCTAACTTAATATTTGCTATGATTCAGCAAACTCTTTCCCCTTCAAGTACATTAACTCATCACTCCCTTACTCATGAAGCCACAAAGATAGTGTTTGAGAAGATCAGCATCAATCAAAACAGAAGCAGAATCACCATGTATAAAAGAGTAATGAACACATACGTGCGAGACAGAGAAATGTGATGCATGGATATCTGCTGTGCAATCTGCTCTTTCATGACAAATTAGTGGTTACCGTTTTTTGTTTGGACACAGCCCTACATCAGTTTCAATAGTTGCCCATAAGTTCAATGTACTTTTCTTTTTGCTTTTATTTTCCAAAGACTACAATCTACTATATACATTAGCACACAGCATGTCCAAGTAAACTCAGATTTCTTGTGAACTGTATAGTGACTCTGCATTCTGAGCCATGTTTTTAAAAAAGGATTCATAATTAAAAATGAAGATAATTTAATTAACTCTGCACGTGCTTTACATAGACTTTAAGGTCAGAAGGGACCATCATGATCATCTAGTCTGATCTCCTGCACATTGCAGACCACAGAACCTCATCCACTCCTGTAACAGATCCCCAACCTCTGCCTGAGTTACTGAAGTCCTCAAATCATGGTTTAAAGACTTCAAGTTACAGAGAATTCACCATTTACACTAGTTTAAACCTGCAAATGACCCATGTCCCATGCTGCAGAGGAAGGTGAAAACACCCCAGGGTCTCTGCCAATCTGACCTGGGGGAAAATTCTTTCCCAACCCCAAATATGGCCATCAGTTAGACCCTGAGCATGTGGGCAAGACCAGCCAAACACCAGGGAAAGAATTCTCTAAAGTAAACCAGAGCCCTCCCCATCTCCAGCCATGGGGGATTTTTGCTACTGGCAGTTGCCAATGGGCCACATGCCATCATAGGCAGTCCGATTACATCATCCCCTCCATAAACTTATCAAACTCAGTCTTGAAGCCAGTTAGGTTTTTGGCCCCATTGCTCTCCTTGTAAGGCTGTTCAAGAACTTCGCTCCTCTGATGGTTAGAAACCTTCACCTAATTTAGACTCTAAATTTGTTTCATGATCTTTATAATTTGTCACACAAAATCTCTTCTATCTCATTTAATAAAATTGAGTGTGGCTGAAAAGTATAGTAACCACACTACTTTGCAAGCATAAATCAACCCCAGGAATTCTGCTCATTTCTATTCTATACCTAGCAGACAATTTTTCATTTGTAACACATAATTAGAAGTGACAAAGTTCTATAAAAACCATATATGATACATAGTGAAAATAGTTTAAATAACTTTACTTACCCGCACGATCCATTATATTCAAATTTTCCCTGATTCAATTGCATTGCTAAATCTGTCAAGAGACAAAAATAACTGAATACCCTGTCTCTGTGAATAAGGCAGATGTAGAGCAACCTTCTTTACAAAGGGAAATATGATGCACAGGGTTTTGCCCAAGAAGGACTTTAACTTAGGGTGATTTCTACGCACTCAACTAGAAGACTTCGGATTTCTTTACAATGGTAACCTCTTTCTTTATCCACCACGCTAAAATCTAATGTGCATTAAAAAACATAGACTATAGTTACAAAAGTGTTAGGCCCTGATCCTGCAAGTCACTGGGTCCCTGTATGAGCACAAGGGTCTGCCTGCATGGATCAGTTTACAGGATCGGGGCCATAGAGACTACTGGAACTATTTTCAGCTCAGATGCTTATTGGAAAGTCTGAGTATTATTCAATTCATTTATAGAGCGCCTATCCACAGATCTTCTTTATGTTAATCACATCAAATGGGTCTTACAAGTCCTCTACTCCAAAGTCCTCTGTTCAATGCCATATAGTCTATCACATCACATGCTAATAGGTCTTCCTTTATTAAATTCTAGTGCTTCTTCCTGGGTTGGCTTCGCCGTCATTTGTCTTCAGTTTTAATCTGTTGGATTCTTACCCACCTATTTGTCAGAACTGTGCTTTACTTGACCACACCATCTGAGCCTGCACTCTCTCAATTTTTTGATTATGGATGTTACTGTGAGCATGTCTCTGACATATACATTCCTCATGTGGTCTTTCTTGTTTACCCCACTCATAGATCCCAACATTTGCATTTCCGTAGAGCAGATCATTTGCTCATGTGTCTTCTTTGTTGCCCAACTCTCAGCACCATACCTTATAACTGGATGGACCACTGCTTTATAGACTTTTCCTCTTCATCTTACTCGTCTCCATCTGTCACATATTGCACATATATCCACAGACACAGCCAGTAAATACATCAAAAAACCCCTTAAAATTTAGCAACACAAATTTTTCCTTAAAATTTCCAATCCCACACTTGGCCTATGAAAAACTCCCCCCCTATTTTTAGTGATAACTCTGGCCTCCTTTCACCCACAGAATTTTAGGATTCTGCTTTCAGACAGAGCTCAACCCTTGTTTGAGCTTCCCAGAATGCACATCAGAAACAAAACTAAACTGCCTCCACAACACAAAAGTATGGGATTTTGAATACACACCAACTAGCAATTTCCTTACTTGGTAGCACCCAGACTTAACACATCAGCCTTCCAAAGTCTATCTCGTGGGATGACTTCCATTCCCTCACCTATCCTCCAGACTCTTAGCATGGCCTTCTGACAGAATACTTAACAGAGCAATGCCGCTTTTTCCCTATAGTAATCATTTACAACACAAAGGGCTGAGAATGCTGTGAGGGGATGGGTGCAGACCCAGGGAGAAGGGTGAAATTTGCACTGCCTCCTTTACCCCCACACTGTGTCCCCTTCTGGACTGATTTACAAGCAATACTTATACGTCTGCGTGCAGCTCTCTCTAGTCTCTTTCAGCTAGAAGTTGATAATGGCAGTGATGCAGAGCTTTGTGGAAGAGGAGTTGCAGAGGAAAAATGGGTATGATCATTACAACTTTCTGAAGCACTGAAGACATCACCAAGGGGAAAAAATAAGAACAAGAACCCTTTAGGTTAGAAGAAGACAATGGAAAGATTGGTCTGGCAAGTACAGCCAAATATGTTTCTTGATTCAGTGCAAAAACTAATAATTATATGTTTTTCCCCCGCCAAAAGGGCAAACTAGCTATCTCTCATCTTAGGAGAGAGCCATGTAAGCTCCCAATCTGCCTGCCTGTCACGACCCTAAGTGGCTCGCAGTCGTATCCCATTTCCAAGTGCTAACGATGAGATTTGCCAGTAATTGCTTACTGGTCTAGAAATATAGCTGACGTAATTATTATTATTTTCTATTTTATCTGGTGTGTCCTTCCAACGTAGTGTTCTCCATGGAAGCCGTGCATTTCGTTGTTGCACAGATAGGACTTTTGTGAAGAGGGTGGTTATTTTATAAACTAAAAATTACATCACTCTTACATTTATTTAAGATCCTAAAGTGCCTTGCTAATTATTTTTGCAAATAAAAGGAGACTGAATTTTCTTCCATGCTTTTTTCAAAACAATTCTTCCTTGTCTTATGCCTCCATGATTTCGTACACATCATCATACTGTTTAGCCATATGTCTGTTTCTTCAAAAAATGCCAGGAGGAAATCTGTGGCATCTGTTTGAGTGTTCCTGGCCAAGCCTTTCTCTGGAATTTAGGTTCACTGGACATCACTGCCTACCTGGGGTCTGAAAGTTCAGTGAGACCATCTGGCAGCCAGCGTTCCAGAAAATTTGAGGCATGTAATTACTGGAATCCACTCGGCCTCCCTTGGGGTATATCCGACTCATTTGTCGTTTATTATAACTATGTAACACGTTAAGGAAAACGAAATAAAAACAACATAGAGACTTCAGATCATTTACTCATACCATTATTATTTCTTATATGCTGTATCCTATTTTCCATGCCCCTGCATGGACAATATTGTAAAATCAGAACTAAATGATTTTTGTATATAGGATAGATGTCTACCGGCTAACCAAAAATAGAACTGGTATTCAGTATACTACTTTTAATAGAAGGATACTTCACAAATTCAATTGCATGCGTCTTCAAATACCCTAGTCCAACTGATTCATTAAAAGAGGACATATTGTAATGAATATTGCGTTCTAGAACAATAAGAAATAAAATCCATTTTAAAATACTGAGTATAAAACAGAGCAAAATACAAAACCATGTAATAGTAATAAATACTATGCAATGTAGTAACACAGATCTCTCTGTTTTTCCACTACTTGCCATTTTACAAAACCAAATTATATTTGAAATAATCTTAACTGATGTTTTCTTATTTGTCATTCTCTTCTCTCTAAGACCATTCTTGTGAGCCATCAAAACTTGGCTTTTATATTTATGAAAACGCTGCAATTACATAAAGAGCAATAGTAGTATAACTAGATACTAGAAGTAATACGGTACATGTTTAGGGTATTTTATATATCACAATAAGCAAACTGTTGACCTTTGTGACAATCACATTTATCCTATGTTAGTGAAAGAGTAAAAAGGTCTACAGTACAGGATCTATTCTTTGCAATGTTAACTTAATATACTTAATAATTCAGTGCCTCCCTGTGGTGACAAATGGAATAACAAGTTAATTCTATATTCCAGGTAAGTGTTCTGTAAATACCATACAAATGGAGTTTACAAAACTACAACAAGAATTTTAAACGGATTATAAAAATAGCAAATTGGATATAAGAATCATTACACAAAACTAAGTAGAAGTAAGAAGACAAATACTGTTGTTTCATTCAACCTTGTATGTTACCTTCTGCTACATGGAAACCTTGAAACTTTACGGGCTGAGCATAGTTGATCATGGTTGATAAATATGGATGTATATTGGTTGTCGCACCCACATATTTGTAAGATGCCATCCATGCTTGTTCATCTTCAACAGTTACTATGCCCTGAAAGCACATTTAAAAGTATATCCACTAATCACTCTTTTTTGCTCTTGTTGGGGTTTTCAATGCAATGTAAAAAATGATGCCTGTATCTCCAGAAGTTAAAATAGACACATAATGACACAAAACAGTTGCACCCTCAATGCTGCGATTCGGGTCGATTCAGTTATTGATATATGCAGAACACTCAATGTTAATGGACATCATGCATGAGGTTTGATGGCAGAACAGACTCCTAATTAGTGAGCAATATTATATGCTGTTAGTAAAACAACATTAGAATCCAGGATATTGATTAAAAAAAAGTCAAAGGGGACTGAACAATACTGTGGGATAAAGCCCTGTCTTATCAAATAGAAGCCTGATCTTTTTAATATCAATTACGTCAGAGGGGGGTACCTTTGAGGCTGCTACCAAGTGGATCTTTGGCATCATCAAAACTCAGATGAGTGCCATTGATAAGCCTTTGTGGATATGACCAAGACTGAAATTATAAGGGAATTTGGGAATCAGAATTTGACCAGACTAACGGCGTTCCATGAAACTGACAAAGCTGTGGAGAAACGGGGGGGCACAGCACACTGTGCTTGGCTGTAGACAGTGATATAAATTTCTTTCTGTCGTGTGCATAAACATCCACCATGCATACAGAAAAAGTTGCAAAATCTTCTTAGAGATATCCAATCTGCAGATACTTGCAACAAGAGTAATTTCTCATGTGATTACACAGCCCAAATACATAGCAACATGGGTTGAAATAAAATATTTTATAGACTAGAAGAGGCCTCTGTCACACTACACTAAGGTCTTTACTACTCGCCGGATCGGCGGGCAGCGATCGATCCAGCGGGGATCGATTTATCGCGTCTAGTCTAGACATGATAAATTGACCCCCGAGCACTCTCCCGTCGACTCCTGTACTCCAGCTCTGTGAGAGGTGCAGGCAGAGTCGACGGGGAAGCGGCAGCAGTCGACTCACCGTGGTGAAGACACCACGGTAAGTCGATCTAAGTACATCGACTTCAGCTATGTTATTCATGTAGCTAAGTTGCATAACTTAGAGTGATCCCCGCCCAGTGTAGACCAGAGCTAAGAAAAAAATAATCACACATACTGATATCTAGTGGCATCTTTCTGTTCAGTTTCTTGGCTCATTCTGTTCTGCCAATCACTTTCCTTCACTCTCCCTGACTACCCAGGACCTTCTTTATAAAGGCTCTATAAAGAGCACCAGAATGGGATCTTCTCTTGTAATCTGTAGCCCTGGTTAGGCCTATCAGTATTGTCATGTGGCCTACTATGTCAAGAAGAACAAACCAGAAGGGAATTTAACCCTATGCATGCTTCTGCATCCTGTCCCAGTGAATTTCCTGATACAGTACATCTTAAAATACATCAGTATTGTAATGCAGCTTTTCATGTTCCGAATGCAATATAGCTCTGTTACAAAATATTTTTCTGTGAGACCAGGAAACCATGAATAACTGCAAATATTGCAAAATCATTTTTTCAGGCAAGGAGCCTCTGCATCTGTAACAACACTAAAGAATGACAAAAGTAACTCTACTGTACCCCTAATTACTGGACATCATTAATTTCAGGGGAAAGAGAAGAAAAAGCAAATCTATTTACCAGTATTATGCCATATGCTTGTGACCTGCATTATGGTGCAGACACATATTTAAAGAAATAAATAGAATGACACTACCTTATTCCACAGTCTGGTTGAAACATTGAGGCCTGGTCTACATGCGAAAATTAGGTTGGATTAACTATGTTGCTCAGGGGTGTGAAAAATCCACATCCCTGAGTGACATAGTTAAGCCAACCTAACCGCCGGTATAGCCAGCATTAGGTTGCCGGGAGAATTCTACAATTGACCTAGCTACCGCCTCTCAGGGCGGTGGAGTACCTACACCAACAGGAGAACCCCTCCCACTGGCATAGGTAGTATCTACAGTGTAGACAACCTCTTAGGCTGACAAGGAAGGGCATTACCTGCCAGTTACTGATTGCCTCAGGGAATTGAGTGACCGCGGTGAAGCCCATGTTGTCTGGTTTGCAGTTCACACTTAAATTAAATTTTCCATGGTCCATATAATCAGACCCATACTTTATTTTAACATGGTTAATAGGGCCCGATCCCACAGGCAGTCCACAGGAAAGTCAATGAGTGTTCCACATGCAGATGGGCTCGCAAGATTGAGCTTTTGATATGTAAAACACTAACACTGACATTTTGTAGCAGTGCAGAATATGACTTTATCATCATGCATTTTTTGTTATCAGGTTAATGTTTACCAGTCTGCTGACTACAAATTAAAACAAACCTCTTTAGGTCTGTAAGCCATGATTTTTCAGACGTGACGAGTAATTTTGGATGTCTCAATCTGGTGGGAGGCCAATTTGAGACATTTTAAGGAAGCTTGATTTTCAGCAAATGATGAGCACCTATCCTCTGAAAAATCAGGTTCGAGGTGCCCAAAGCTGGCCACCCAAAATCACTAGTCACTTTTCACAATCTTGGTCCTAAAGTGGATAAATGAAAAAATGCAGTGGGACAGAAATCAATGAGCATTTGTATCCTACTACAGGAGAACAGGGCCCCAGGACTATAACCACACAATACTCTAATGACACAAGAGTTCTCCTAGTTAAGGACGTTCCAAGGCAATCTACTGATTATTAACTGTAATATATTCACTTACACATAATTTGAAGACTAAAAGGTCTGGCTCTCATTGCAATATCCACAGCAGTGGATCTAGGATTTCAAAACAGGACTGTAGGATTTGGGAATAAGAGGATGGGATGCCACTTACAGCCATCCCCCCTGAGCTGAAGAAATGGTTACCCTAACATATGGCCTTTGTAGGGTGCTGGAGTGAGTTAAGGATGAAAACAATCAGGATCCCTGTAGACCCGCATCTCAAGAAAAGCAGCAGAACTCTCCTAAAAAGGCTGAAATAAAGTGTGGTCAGGAATGTATTTAAATGACAGAAAGGAAGAAATGCATGGAGACAAGCAGGAGGAGGGAGGAAGGGAGCGAGACTAACAGAAGATATTCTGCGTGGAAGGTAAATGCACAAATCCCAAGGAAAAGAAAAAGGAGGAAAAAGAAAAAAAATAAAGAGAGATAAATAAAGTGGGGCAGGATGAAAAAAATGTTGGCATGATTTCTGCCAATCCCTCTGAAGGAATCACACTTTCCCAGGCACATGAAATTGGGGTGTAATTGTTTCTACTGGGATCAGATATTTCTAAGTGAGGGCAGGTCATGCAGCCTTCTTTTCCCCCCATCAGTATTATCCCTCAAAACCCTGTGAATAGGGGGAGCGGGAAGAGATGGAACTACAACCTACTGGCCGTCATTACAAGGAGAAAGGAGACACAATGTGCAAAGAAATAGAGTGTAAAATAGTTATACACTTATGAATGTATTTTAGAGAAAAATGTTTATACATAAAGAAATAGAATAGAAACTACATAACATCCTGTGTGTCACCTTTTTATTGTTTTCTTGTTCAGAATCTTCCAAAGCCTAAGGAAAAAATATATATACATTACCCAAAGAAATTGCAACATGAAACACTCCTAGTTATAAAAGAAAACCCTCAAATGGTTAATGTACTTGGCAAAAAGTATATCCCCTTCCAATTCACTATACGGTTCATCTATCAATTAACTCTCAAAGGTTTGCAGTATCTTTCAAATTCATATACAAAAGGGGTGGAAAGATATAGCTACTAGTATTGGGAGTAGAAAGGAGGACATCAGGCAGTTAAGTCCAAACCCAGTTGTAGTGTCATGCGGGGAATGGCAGAAAGCTCATGGGGAGAGATTGAGAGAGAGTGCGCACACATGAAAGATCATTTGCCATCCTATATTCAGGGTGACCAGACTTTGAGGGCATTTGAAGATATAAGAGTTGGAGCTGCTCTGTACTTTGTGCTGTAAATGTCCAAATACGGAAGAATGCTGCTATCTGCCCCAAGAGATTGCAAGGTTACTTGCCACTAGAGTTCCATTCACTGAGTGACTCCCTGTGCTTTCTTCCTTCAATTACAAGCTGCTAGCACCGAGAACCTTAGACAGGAAAAGAGTGACTTGGCTCTCAAAGTATGTACAGAGAGAATCACGATTTACTGTCAAGCTATAGATCAATGAGGGAGCAAGGAGGGGCTCATGCAGAGAATGGCTGACCACTTGGAGTAACCAATAGGGCAGTTGGGGGCCTGCTGGTTTAATAAGCAAAACAGCCCTACAGCAGAGAAGGAAAATCTGCAGTTCATTCGGAAGCTCTGTAAAGGTCCTGAAGAAGCAAGGATGCAAACACAAAGCAAGCAGGCAGCTCTGATTATTTGTGATTCTGCTGTTGAGAGATAGGTTGCGAAAGGCAGTGTGTGCAGCAAGGAGAACTTCCACCAATAGATATTTCTAGCTCAAACAAGAGCCACAGCAAGCCATGCAGGAGAGAGAAAGACTAGAATGCTTCAATGACAGAGGAGGATGGTACGGTACCTTAGTGACAAGCAGGGTCTGGTGCCTTGGGTACTAGCATGGCTTAATTTTCAATTCCACTGTACTGTATCTAATTATGGACAAGTGCTATACCAAGTAATGTTCGCTTACCAAGTACAGAATGTCAAACTACTAAGATAAGGTGGTGGAATCTCCATCCTTAGAGGTTTTTAAGGCCTGGCTTGACAAAGCCCTGGCTGGGATGATTTAGTTGGTGTTGGTCCTGCTTTGAGCTGAGGTCTCTTCCAACCCTAATCTTCTATGATTCTATGATAAGTACCAGTGGAAGAATAAGCCCTTGTGGCCAGTCTGCCTGCTGAGATCCCAGTGCCATGCTCTCCAACTGGGCCGATTTTCCTGCTACCCTGTCTATGTCACTGTTTCATAAACGCACAGCAAGTGGAAGTGGGTGCCCGCTATTCAGAGAGCACCAGTACAAAAATAACTGAGGAAGTCTCTGAGATAAGGCATGGGCTGAGGCCAAGCCAGGAGGAGTACAGGAGTGACGAAGCGGATATTCACCCCACAGTACGGCTCTTAAATTGTGACACACAATTCACAGCCAGGTACTGTTACGTAGGCAGGAAACTGTTGGCAGCCATGTCTAACAATTTTTGGCCAAATCCTGTAGGCTGTGCACAGTGATTTCCCAGGTATAGCTCCCATTTGCTACCATAGGAGTTTTGCTTGAATAAGCAGAGCAGGTTTTGGCTTGTTAAATTTTATATCGCCATGAATTGAAGTGTCAGCAGCTCTGCTAGAAAAATCCCTGTGTGATTCATACTGTATTTTCTCCTACAGCTAACATATAGTGTGATCCTTCCGCACAATGAAAGGTCTTTCCCAGCCATCTCCATGGAAAAATCTTCCAACGTGAATATATGTCAGAATTAAGCCTACCTTTTTGACGCTATTGGCAACCGCTTCTTTTTGACTCAAGTCATCTGCAGAAAGCTCAGTTCCAAATTTTAATTCTGGATGGGCTTCTTCTTCTTGATCAGCTACACAACAATGAAAAGGAAGGAAATGAGCGAGAAAAACATAGCAGCAGATATTTTTGTGGAACTAGTTCAAAAACCATCACACCAGTGTGAATTGGCTCATTTTCTAAAGTGAGTAAAACTAAGGAAGTAGAAAGATTTCCAACAAGTAGTGGATGTTTAAAGTAAGTCCCTCAGATTCCTTGGTTTGCTAGCTTTTATCTAGTAAATACTAACACCCATTCAGTAAAACGGCGTGTAAGAATAAATCTGTGGATGAGACATAGATACTGAGAGATAAGTTTAGCATATTCTTGGAAAAATCATGAATTGGGCATAGGAAAATGCCAAGGTAAAAATCAAGGGCCTGGGGTAACAAAATGAAATGAAGCCAGGGCTCTTTAAATATAAATTCAAAAGTTTTGGTGCCACCATTTGAGTTCTCATACGCCTACACCCACTCTCTTTCCTTTTATCCTTTCTCTTTTATACATGGATCTCTCTCATTTATTTTCACAAATTGTTAGTGGTTTCAAAGGAGCCAATATGGTCTCTTATGTACAGACTATTTTAAAATGTATTTATCTGTTTAGATTTAAATAATTAAAAACGATGCCTATCCAAGCCTCTAGGTGCCCTAACACATAATTACTAAAACAGTAAAATCCCAGCAGCATTATAGTAATCACTTCAACAGGAACTCAGACAGCCACTTACAGAACATTCTTTCTACCCCTTCATCATCTAGGAAACCCCCTCAGCCCACTCCAAAACCCTGCTGAACACGTGTTTTTTGCAGCACGGGTGGCAAATCACCAGATCTGGGATACTTCAGACTAAGTGAGGGAGCAAGTTCCAGACTCCTGACCACTCATGGAGAATGCATGAACAACCTGCCCTTCTCTTTTATAATGAGGGGGATCTGGCTCAAGCACCTTGCTGACCGCAGCTGTGGCATGGGGAGAGAGATGGTCCCTCACGTAGGCCAGTCCTGGGACATTTAGGACTTTATAAGTGGTTATAATCCAAACACCATAAACTCAACCTAGAGACCAATAGGCAGCCATTGCCGATCCTTATGTCATAAACTCCGCACATGAAGCCCCACTGAATAAGTGGGCCACAGCGCTCTGCACCAGCTTCAATCCCCAAATAATTTAAAGGTGCAGCCCCGAATAGAGTGCATTGAAACAGTCCAATCATGAGGTAACAAAAACAGATAACACCGACAAGGTCCACATCCAAAAGGAAAGGTTTGCAGCCTCCTAGCCAGGTGCAGATGGTAAAAAGTTGTTTGGGTCACTGCTGTAATATGAATGTCCCACAGCAGCGGAAGGTCTAGAATCACCTCTGAGTTGCAAACACAAGTAACTAATGGCAGACGTACAGCCTCAGCATAAGAGGCGGATATTACCTCTGCCATCTCCTCCAGCTGCTTTCCCTGGCAGCCTCATTGCCTCAGTCTTGTCTGGGCTGAACTTCAACTGGCTCACTCTGATCCATGCTCCAAACTCAGCTGGACACGGGCTGAAGCACTGAACCACATCATTCAAGTTGGATGAGACAGACACACACAGTGGGGTGTCATCGGCATACTGACGACAACGCACCCAACACCTTGTTACTGACCCTCCGACCAGCCCCAGATACAGGTTGAACAAAACAGGTGACCAAATGGCACTTTGCAGCACCCAGCTTTTGAGAGCTTCGAAAGAGGAGCAATTGCCCACAACTACCCGTTGAGATCTCTCCAAGAGAAGGGAACGGAACCAGCGAAGAGCAGCTGCCTCTACTCCCACCAGAGTCCGCAGGCAAATCAACACCACCTTGTGATCTATGGTACTGAAGACAGCTGATAGGTCTAATACCACCAGCATGGACACCTAGGGCTTGTCTTCACTACGGGGCTAAATTGGTGTTGCTGTGATCAATGCAGCGGTGTTGATTTAGTGGGTCTCATGAAGACATGATAAGTCAATGGGAGAGCGCTCCCACCTCAATGAGAGGCGGAAGCTACCTCAATGGGAGAGCGTATCCTGCCAACATAACATGGTGTCTATACTGCCCTAAGTCGATGTAAGTTATATTGCTCAGGAGGGTGGGTTTTTTACACCCTTGAGCAACATAACTTACATCGACTTAAGTGGTAGTGTAGACAAGGACCTAGCCTTCGTTTATCACTAGGAGGAAACCACTGACAAGCATGTCAAATGCAGTCTCTTTGTCAAAGATAACTCTCTACCCAGATTGACGGGGTCAAGGAGATCAGTAGCATCTAGATACTGTGCAAATTGTCTTACCACAACCTTCTCCACTAAACGTGCCCAAGAAAGGAAGAGAAGATTCAATACTCCTCAATAATTAGCTAGATTGCCAGCATCCAGCAATGAACACTATTGCTTCCTTCAAAGCAACAGGCCGTTTGCCCTCTCTAGGAGAGGCACTGACAATCCCATAAGCAATGGGCCCAGTATTTTCCCCACTGGCCTTCGCCAGCCAGGAACGATGTGTATCCAAAGCATTTCCTGAGTGCTCTGGCAACATATTGTATGTGTGAAGAGAGATATTAACACACAGATGGACAAATTCAAACCAACATGTGAGAAAAGGTTGGTGTTCGCTACATGGGAGAAATAGCTTATTTTGTAGTGCTTATAAATGAACTGAAAAATTAAACTAGCAGTTGCAAGAGATACTGGCAGGATTTTTCACATACACAGCGTAATTTACATGAGGAAGAAATACAAATAATCTCCCGTAATTGTATAAAAATGTTGCAGATCCTACTCTACCATTTCTATCGCCCTCCCCCCCCCGCCCCCGCCTGTTAAAAGGTGTGTTTAATCCGCTGACCCATTATTTTAGCTAAAGGCACCCTGTTTGGACAATTCCTGATATCACCTCCAGGTGGTGAACTAGGTAGCAAGAACAAGATTCAAACGTAGTCAATGCCTATCTCATAACAGATCTAATAGTTCAGCACCCTGTTTTTGACCTTCCACAACATCTATGGGTAAAGCTCAATCGCTTCAGATGGAGAGTGATCAGATGGGCTGCTAATGGGTCTTTGTGACTCCCCCTCCATTTGACACTGAGGTCAATTAAAAGATGAAGGTCACATGCCTGTAGACTGCGTTCATTGGCAAGGGCTTCGTGGTTCCCTTCTGGACTTTGCACAATGCTCTTCTCTCAATGACTTAGACTAACACACGTGACTTGACCGTCCATGCAGATGGAACTGCAGTACATCTATCTTCACAACTACATTCTGCTTTTCTTCTTCAGCAGCCCTTTTAACCTCTGCTTTTCCCCAGGGTATTTTTGCTGTTGTGTTATCCTACCCCTGTAGACAACGCCTCACCCCAGAGATCTCAAAGGGTTATCCCGGAGATAAATTGCAAAGAAACAAATTAACAAACTAAATGGGATCAAAAGCAGAACCCTGTTCCAAGGGCAACAGCAACGAAAGATAAGACATGAAAAGGTTAATGCAACTTCTTTTTCTAATGGTCTAATTTGCTTTGTAACATTTTCATTTATTTAATTTTACATGCGCTTCAGGTTCACAGAGTTTAGAGAGATTTATTTAAAATCTAAACAAATAAACGTACTTATGAGTTTATGTTACAAGTGGGAAGCCTATAAAGACAGTGCTTGTGAGGATATGTCAGGTTAAAGTGAAGCAGTTATATGAAAAGGCTTCTACTGAGGCCCAGTGGCAAATGTCTATCTGAACTCCTCCCTCCTTTTCCAGCAGGCAAGCAACTCCCGAGAAGCATCGCTTATAAAATCCTCACCACTTTCTATTTCTTCTTCATTGTCATCTTCTAGAATATTGACAGGAGCAGCTGTTTCGCCAGCCTCCATCATACTTTTCAATGCCTCAAGCTGTTCTGTTTAAAAAATAAAAAAACAGAGAGAAAATTAACGTTAGCCATGTAACAAATGGTTCTTATTCAAAATTAAATATTTTAACTCAAATTACATGAAGAAAATGCTAAATAACTAGGGCCTGATTCTGACAGGGGCTTGAATTGAATAGGAGTTATGGGTGCTCAGTACCAATTCGGGTCAGGTCTTCTGTCAGCAATAAAGATTTGCAAAAGAACTTGAAACCCATTGTTGTTAGGGATACTTTGATAAAACAGTTATTACCAATGCTGGATCAAAAAAAAAAAAACCCAAACAAACAGTAAGGGCCCAATGAAGTCAAGGAGCGTCTTTCCAGTGACTTCAAGAGCCTTCGGATCATTACTGCCGTGAGCAAGTCCTGGGTAACAGATGGCTGATCGCTTTCACGGCCTAATATGACATTCCATATTGGAATGGGAATTTTACCTCAATGTTATTTCTGAATTGTGCTTGTAAGTTGCACCGTATGAGCCAACCCTCAAGTCAATGGGAGTTTAGCCACTGTCTTCAATGGGAGAAGGTCCAGGGCCAATCAGTACGGCCATAGTAGGAACCATGAATACCCCAGCATCATGATTCGTGCACAGCAGAAGAATGCCAGGATTAGCAAGAAAAGAAGAGTCATTTGAAATTCCATTTCAGTTTTAGTTCACCCTGGCAGGAGTGGAAAACACAACAATGACAGCACACCTGCTCTACAACAGATTCCATCTGTGTTACATTTTGGCGTGGACAGCAATTAGATTATGACCCAGAATTCCATTTCAAGTTATATGTATTTATAATCTCTACACATTTACACAGAGGGCAAAACTTTGCCACTGATATGAAACACAAGTGAAAACAAAATGTCATGCATAGTGAATATAAAGTATGTTCTTCATTTTGGAAAGTTTGGTAGAACATTGTTCTGTTATCTAAAGTGCATACTTTTGTATTAATGTAATGGTTCAATGAACTTTACTTACTTTTTTCCACTTCAGGTTTCAGCCTTTTGTTTTTTATGAGTATCTTTCTTTTGAGATCATTCGGGGACGGTAAGGGTCTTCCTGGTTCAAGCTACAAAAATGGAGAGAAGGGCTTATTGAGCATGATTTGCAATGATCTTCTCATTTAACCTCTTTGACTACCCATTTTGGGCTGGATTCTGACTTTAGGACCAGCCTGAGCAAGGGACACTGAGGACATCTCTTCACTACAGGGAGATCGATGCTGCTGCAATCGATGCAGCTGGGGTCAATTTAGTGGGACTAGTGAAGACCCACTAACTCGACAGCAGAGCGCTCTCCAGTCAACCCCGGTACTCCAGCTCCTCGAGAAGATTAAGGTAAGTCAACAGGAAAACATCTACCATTGACGCGACGCAGCGCAGTGAAGACACTGTGGTAAGTCGACCTAGGCTACGTTGACTTCAGCGAAGTTATTCATATAACTGGAGTAGCGTAACTTAGATCGACTTACCCTGGTAGTGAAGACAAGCCCTGACTAAGCAGAACCATGGAGGGGCTGCTCTGCAGCCAGGGCAAGATGGAGACAATGACCTAAAGGGAGGACTTCCACTTCCCCTGCAGCCATCCCCCCACCCTCCGAAATGAGAAACACGGGATCCCATCCCTCTCTGCTCATGGAAGTGGATGGGATCATTTGGCCTGTATATTGTAAACTCCTTATTATCTCATATTCCTGTAATGAGCCACACACAAAAAACTCTGAATACATCAGAATAAAAACAACAGTCACATGAAAATATCAACAGGAATGCAAGGACACTGAAAAAGTCATTCATTTATTTTCTTCTTCTGCTCAGGATTTTATGTTGCATCAATAAAATATTAAAAATCAAAGGTTCATATAACCCCTTTAACTATCTCTGTGTATTCAGGTAAGAATGTCCCTCTTTTTTGCTCTTATCAGATTATTTTAAAGGGCAATGTTTGAGAACCTCCCGATCTTAAGTTAGCCACATTCTGGATTTAAAAGCACAGCTAATGTGCAGTCCTTGAATTTTGTTTACCTATCTTGCTATTTTGTCTAATTGCTATTTTTGTCCCTTTTAACAAAACATGTTTAGACATCTATTATTTCCTCATGTTAAGGTTTGCTAAATTCTAAAAACAAGAACATGCTGATTAAAAAAAAACCTACATTGGTAAGAGAGACTTATTATTTATCAAATCATCTGAAAACTGAATTCTGCTCTAATATTTTCTCTCTGCTGCTCATATCTTTCATATGGGTTTCGAATGGGTTGCTGCCTGACTGCCATCCAGAAGAAAAATACTTCCAAAATTAATTGGTAATAATAATACTTTACATTAATACTTATTGTTTGATGATCACAAAACATTTCACAAAAATTAATTAACACAATGCAAGAGTGTGGCAGGAAAGTATCATCATCCTCACTTTACAGATGGGGAAAACAAGGCAGGAAGAGGTTACATAGCTTTAAAATAAAGCATTTATCATCTGAGCACTGTATAGTAAATAGCAAAGGAGTCCCTCCCCTGGAGAAATTACAATCTAAATAGACAAGAGACAGAGTTGGAGGGGAAACTGAGGCAGAGAGGGCAACAAAGTGACAGAAGTAATGCCACAGATCAGTAGCACAGGCAGGAGCAAAACCCACCTCTCCTGATTCCTAGTCCACTGCCAGATCCACAGGGTCACACCACCTTGGCAACAGTAAAGTCAGGAGACTGAAGTATCAACTCATACATTGACTTGCTGCGTGATTTTGGGCTAGTCGCTTAAACTCAGTTCCCTAATATCAATTTCCTAATTTGCTAAATGTGACTAACAATACTTACCCAGCTTAACTCACTGCCGTATTGTGAGGTTCCAGCAACCAGTGCACAACCCTGCGAAGATTTATCTATGCGAGTAGTCCTTAGCCAGATGATAAGGACTATACCTGCCAGTAAGGGTTTGTAGGAGCATGTCTTTGATGTTTGTGGACGGTATCAAATGACAAATGCTACGTATGTGCTAAGTAAATGACTTGCTCCATATTGGGAAGGGAGAGGCATAACATCTGTTGGCCCATCACTCTCCACTCTGAGGTGGGCAGAGCACAGGCCAGGATCCCCTGGTACAAGCCCCAGGACACAAAGGAGTGCAGATTTGGGTGGTGTGGCTCCCTCCCAGTGGGCCTGGGAAGGAAATGGGGGAAGGATCTGTTACCCAGGATCACAGCTGAAAAGGACAATGGTACACTGAGGTAGAAGTGAGTTGGGACTGGAAGATATAGCCAGGGTTAGTAAGGAATCCCAGAACGGGGAGGCAGATCTCTTTGGAGTGGGTGGAGTTTCTAGGTATTCAACCACCACATAAAAAAATAACAGTAATCAAGTCAGCTTTGTCACTGTGCCGGACCAGCATCAACAGCCTCTGTGGGAAGGCACTGTCAACCCACCACACCAGGGGAGGGCAAACTTTTTGGCCTGAGGGCCACGTCGGGTTTCCAAAATTGTATGGAGGGCCGATTAGGGGAGGCTGTGTCTCCCGAAACAGCCAGGCGTGGCCCGGCCCACCACCTCCTATCTGACGCCACCGCTTCTCGCCCCCTGATGCTCCCCGGGACTCCTGCCCCATCCAACCCCCCGCTCCCTGTCCCCTGACCACCCCCGGATCCCCCACCCCTGACTGCCCCCTGCCGCCCCATCCAACCCCCCCTCATTCCTGACTGCCCCCCGGGACTCATGCCCCATCCAACCACCTTATTCTCTGCCCTCTGACCCCCCCGACCCCTATCCACACCCCCGACCCCTGACCACATTCCCAAACTCCTCTGCCTTCTATCCAACCCCATCTTCCCCCTGTCCCCTTACTACGTGGCCCAGAGCACCAGGTCAGGCCGCGGTTCTGCAACTGCGTTACCTGGCTGCCCAGAGCATGGCGCGGTGCACTGAGGCTGAGGTGAAACAGCAGGGGAGGGGCCGGGGACTAGTCTCCCAGGCCAGGAGCTCAGGGGCCAAGCAGGAGGGTCCTGTGGGCAGTATATGGCCCATGGGCCATAGTTTGCCCACCTCTGCACGACACCCTGATACCCAAATACAAGGAGAAGCAAACAAAGCTGGCAAACAGCATGTGGAACAAACAACAACTGATGCAACATCCTTCCAAGCTAATATCCATTTTCCCATTATAATCAAGAGAACTCGATCATTCAGTTCCAGCAAGGGAATCGTGTGCAACAATCTCCACATGGACACTGAGGATAAAGGGAACTCTAGGTTATCATCCACTGGGTCCAGCAGTGAATATATTTTAACTCCACTAGATGTCAGTACAATCAGGTTTCATTCCCCCTACCTCTAAAATACCATTCTGCAATTAAAAGGTTAGCTAGGTGCCCCTCTGGGAAAATATCGGCTTCAGGCAGTCTCACGCCTGTCCTGAGTTTTCCTTCCAGAGACATTTAAAACGGAATATAACTACTTACGAAGGGCAAGTTTCCAACTTGCACCAGATGCCTTTTGAAAGTTTGATTTATGAATGTGTGCATGGAGGAGGCAGAGTGACAGCCAGAAAAAAACAAAACATAAAACAGTGAGCACACTAAAGAGCAGAGACCAGATGAGGCTAGAATTGGGTCCCGAAGCTGCAGTAGCCACAGAACTTTTGGTGTGGCACCATTTCTGTTTGGTCACAGGGCCATGAGAAGCAGCCACTTGCGAGGACTGTGCTCAGATTGGGGATATTACAGCCAGCCACACATCTCTGCATACCCCTCCGAGTATAGCAACATGATCTCTATTATGCATTCTTGCATCCTAACTATCCCTGTCAAAGTTAAGAGAAGAAAAAAAAGCACAGCCCTGGAGAAGGTGTCACTAGGCAAAAGGGCCTAGTAGTCACCAGGGGCAGTAGCAGGAAGGTGAGTCAAAGGAATCTCCTTCTGCCTGTCTTTCTTGGCAGTGTGGTGCAGCTGATAGCAGTTGTTCACCTCTGACATTTGGTGGCTGCTGCTAGAGAGTTTGAATGGGTTGTGCAAAGCAGTGGGCAGGCCCTGTAAGAGCATATGTAGACCCTAGAACAGCGGTTCTCAAACTGTGGGTTGGGACCCCAAAGTGGGTCAGAACCACCTTTTAATGGGGTTGCCAGGGCTGGCTTACACTTGCTGGGGCCCGGGGCTGAAGCCAGAGCCCCACCACTCAGGGCCAAAGCCGAAACTTGAGGGTTTCAGCCCTGGGCGGCAGGGCTCAGGTTACAGGCCCCCTGCCTCTAGCTGAAGCCCTTGGGCAGCGTGGCTCAGGTGGGCTCAGGCTTTGGTCCCCCCTTCTGGGGTCATACAGTAATTTTTGTTGTCAGAAGGGGGTCGTGGTGCAATGAAGTTTGAGAACCCCCGCCCTAGCAAATAGAAGGTTAGGCCAAGGTTGAATATTGGTAGGCCGTGCCTATTAAGAATGCTCCAGCATTTGCTACATTTCCTGGCTATGTATGAGACTGAAATGCATGTGGATTTTAGTTCTCCTGACCGTTCCTGCAGTTGCTGCTTCTGCTGGGAGCTCTTCATCCGATTCAGTTCCTAATGCAGCACTGACAGCAGCCCAGATTCCAGAGCTTGGTCTGGACCAGGAAGCATGAGATAGAAGACGCAGCTGAAAGCACTACACCCTTCCCTTCCAGGCACATATGATCAATTACTTTGCATCTGTCATGTTCTTCTGTACCAGATATGAACTGGTTACAGAGTTTGCTTATACACACCAGATGTGTTCATCATTAGATCCTTTAATGCTCTGGCAGGTATGACTGAGGTTCATTTAAATAAGGTATTTGACACAGTGCCTCCTAGTGGCTGAACAGCCTAGTACAGTTTAGCATCTGGCTGTCCATTACTTGCAAAGACTGGCTGTGGTCAGTTCGCAATCTTCTTCTTGTTTTGAATCTGCCATCAGTAGCATTTTATCTGTTGATTGTTCTTTCTGAGGAACAAATTGTAGCTGTCAATGGTTTCTTTTGAATTCTCCACCGTCAGTCATGATCACATATTATATCGGTGCAGGGTTTTTTGTTTTGTATATGACAGCTGAAGTTGTCCATCCTTTTTATCCATCCATTTTTACATGAACGTGGTCACCAGGTTCTAGACCTGGCAGTTGTCTGTCTGGCCACTTTGGAAATAGGCTCTTTTCCAAAGGTGGAACAGTAGTGCTGAGTTGTCCTCCCATCAGCAAGTGTACTGGACTATATCCAGTAGCTGTTATTGGTGCGGATCTATGACTCAGAGAGCAAGGAATCAATCTTTCTGCTGTAGGATTTTCTGAGCAGTCTGTAGAGCTCTCAGCCTCTCCATTTGCTTGTGGGTAACGTGGGCTGCTAGTGATATGATCAAAATCACATTTCGTTCAGAGTGACTTAAATTCTGCTGCAGTGAACTGTGGTCTGTTGCCTGTCACAGTTGTTCTGAAATAACCTAATTGAGCAAAAGGGGACTTCAGTTTCTCAAGAACACTGTGACATGTTACGTCTTTCAAGTACATTATTTCTATAAACCTGGGAAAATAGACCATGGTAGTGATCTGGTGAAAATATAACCAGGTAGTGATGTCCTCTGAATTTGCATAAACCTGCAACTAGTCTTTTCCAAGGTGTCTCTGGTGTGGGTGTTTGTACACTGTATGGTTCAGCATTGTCTCTTAAGTTGATTTGTACTTGATAGCCTCTCAGAAGTCCAATATCACCAAATCCTCCATCAAGTTCTTCCACCTTTCTCACTGGGCCCATCATAACTGCCATGCTGCAGCTGAGACGGTTGTCACCTTTGATCACATGCACTCTGAATGCATAGCTTTTATCTTCGTAAGTTGTTTGTGGTGAGCTGATCCATGCCATTCAGTATACCTCCAAGGCTGGTCAAAGCTGTGTCAGGTGACTTCAGCTCTGACAGTGATTGTAAATCCCTTCTAAGATGCCTGTGACATCAGCTCCTGAATCCGTTTTAAAGTCAATAGTCTTGCCACTCTCCAGGTTAGGTTCTATGTTTAGAGCCCTGCAAGCATACAAATATTTGGATCCACATCTGATCCACATCCATGATAATTAACGTCTATCCGACCTGTGATCCACACTCCACCGTTTTATATGTATCTGCATTCACACCCATGTCACTGTTAGAGCTCTGCGTGGATACAATTTGGAGCTGCATCTGATCCACAATCAGTAAAGATGGTAAACAATACAACCGCATCCGTGGATGTAGATATTCACAGATATCCGCAGATTTGCAACGTTCTATCTATGTCATCACAAGTAATAGATACCAGAAACAATGGCTCTTGGTTGTCTGTTATATGAGTTAACTCCATGACTGTTTTGGTGCAAACAGCTGCAATATGTCCATATTTCATACATTTATTACACATGTGCATCTGGCTGGACATGCATAATCTCTTGAGATATGACTTTTTCCACATCTTGTGCATGTAGGTTGGAATTGTCATTGTTAACTTGGGAGCGCTCTCTCCTTGCCTCAGGGGTTTTATGATGATAACTTTTAACACAGTTTCTAAACTAGCTTCAGTTTTTTAAGTTTGTCAAGTTTCTCTAGGTTTCACTGTTTCAATAGTTCAGACTGTTTTGCTATTTAAATAACTGAGATTAGGGTTAAATCTCTCTTCAATTTCAGCTGCTATGAAAGGTTTTTATCTGTTAACCCAATAAACCAGCCTGTGTCTGATATTTTCATGTTTTGCATTCCCAAAATCATAGTTTTCAGCCAATATATGCAGAACTCTTACAAAATATTCAACATTTTCCCCTGGTTCTTGAATGCTTTCATGAAAACATTCTCTTTCATAAACCACATTTCTCTGAGGTATAAAGTATGCATTAAACAAAGCCAGAACCCTTTCATACCCATCTTTGCGACAGTCTGCAGTAAAGTCAAAGGATTTAAAGATATGCTTTGCTTGCTTCCCCACATAAATTAAAGAAGATACTTGAATATCTCCAGTTTCTTCCCAAAGTTTGTTTGCAAGTCGAAATCTTCCAAAATACTGTCTGTCCACTGTGAAGATTTGTCAAAGCTGAAGTTCTCTGGGGCATTGAAAAGTGGCATGTTGATGAGATCCTGCAACCTTTGTGGCTGTTCTTTCCGTCTGTACTTTGTTGCTTTGTTCCTTCTGTTTCTGGTCTTACTGTACTCCTGACACCACGTTCTTCTGTACCAGCTGTGGACTGGCCACAGTGCTTGCTTATACCCACGAGATGTATTCATCATTAGATCCTGTAATGCTCTGCCATGTATGGCTGAGATTCATTTAAATAAGATTTTTGCACATAGTGCCACTTAGCATTAATACAGTTTAGCATTAATTAGAGCATCAATAACTGGAAATTACAGAGAGACAAGGTGGGTGAGGTCACAAGCAAAGACACTACACTTGGTCTATTTTATAGGGGAGGCAACCCTGCTTGACTCAGCATGGGGACATGGCTCCCCAACCCTTGCCAGAAGTCCTTCCCCAAACTCTGTTCAGAAGAAATTAAATGAACCAGCTAAGGACCCAAAAACTGAGAAGCCCAAAATCAATAGTGATGTTTGAAAACTAAGGCCCAGGCACACACAAGTTTCTCCACCATTGGTTACTATACCGCTCTAATAAATAGTCTCAAGTTATTAAACCGCTCTAATAAAATTAACAAGAAATATAAACACAATTTTTAAAGATACATACTGGATGTGTTTCTAGAGGTTGCTTCAAAAGGAGATCGCCAAAATAATCTTCACAGTATTTTGACATCTTGTACTGTTGGTATTTGCTGGAAAAAAGTGACATTAGTTAATCCCAAGCCATCATTCAGCAACAAAAACCTGTTACTACTTTTAACTGTTTATAAAAAACGAACTAATATAACTGAAATGCATGAATTTATTTAAACCAAAGTAATGTGCTGATTAAATATTATTCAGTTAATGTGACCTTCGAATGTAATTCACTGCTGAATCACAGCATTATTAAAACAATTCAAAGCTTGACCTTTGTGTTAAAGCCAACATCTCTGGATCTCTTCAAAGTGACATCTAATTTATCTGCATAACCCTGTTACAAAGTTTTCCAAGTCAAGTTGAACTATTATGAGCCTTATCATAGGTGCAATTGCTCTTTCATTGCAGTATTAAAAATGGAAGATGAATATACTTTATACCTGCAGTGATTTTCAAAGGAAAGAATAACAGGATACTCAGATGTAACAAATGCAGTTTCCTTAATGGCTTGAATGACATCCTTTAAAATGCAAAGAAAGTGTTCATGTTAAAACACATCAAGTGGCAATTATGAGTAGAAATATTTTACAGACACAGAACATGATGGATTCTATAGTAAATGAAGCAAAGACAGACAGAACAAAGTGGGTCTATTTCATTTCTCTATTTACTCCCACTCCATGTTTAAAAAACTCTCACTCCACCTGAGGAAGGAAGATGGTAGCTACAGCCACAAGCTCAGTGCTGCTCTGAGACATAGGGATCTGACAGCTGATCTTGCCCAGAGGAGGATTTTGGCTGAAGGGACAACGCCTGTGTTTCATCTGTCACTTCCACAGGTAAGGGGGACTTTTGCAGCAGAGCCATTATTGACTCTGCTGTGCATAAGAGTGGCAGGATTTGGAGAGACTATACAGAGTGCCTGAGTGGGCTCCCTGAATGCTTTCATGCAGAACGGGGTGGGAAGAGGAAGTGAGGCAGAAGTAAGCTGTTGAGAGTTCAGGACATAGGACCCACCCCTATTTAAATCATTCATTCCATTAGGATGTAGGACCAGCCATGCAGTGTTGTGGGGGTGGGATTCCCTCTCTCTGCAGAGTTCCCTACTTGCTAGCTAAATTTCTCCATCTGGGTGTTGGAGAGAGGATTTGGGCTTAAAGTTTGACGTATAAATTTGAAGTTATCAATGATCTATAAATTCTACCTTGAAAAGAATATCTGTACACATTGCTTTCCCATGTGTTATTATTGGTTCTTGGTCTTCACCTTTTCCATCCCAACAATCCAGTTCAACACATCTAAAAACCCAATAACAACTATGTCAATTTTCACAATATTTCCATAAATATACAAGCCATTTGACAGAAACTCCAAGCAATCTGTCTTGTTCAGGAGCAGAGGCTAGAGTAAATAACAATGCAATTTTAGAAGCGCTACAATTCCTCTCATGCTGTATGTAATACACAAACTCTTATCATGTCAATTTGATTTTATAACTATGGACGTATTACATTAAACTCTGTGTGTGTGGGAGTGTAAAATGTCTGAGTGAAAGTGGTTTTTTTAATCAGAACTCCATTATTTACTCTCTCATTAGCTAATCTGGATATACCGTATTTACGCACTGCAAGTAGTTAAACTGGAAGTCAAACTGATATCCACAAAAATGCAGATTGGCTTAATCACACAGCACAAATCCCTCTGAACTGCAGAAGTGTGTGAAGCCTACATCTTCCAACACACCCCTTCCCCGCACAATACTGCAACTTCCTAAAGGCGACTCTTTCCGTATGTTTTTGTACAATAAAGATTTTTACTTATGATACTTTTCATATTTCTCATACTTATTATATTTACATGGTATCATATATAATTGCCGAGGTAAATAAAATGAAGTATTGATTTTCCTAAAACAATATGAACTATGAAAGCCATTATCCTATATTTCCAACCTGCAACCAGCCAAAAGCACTTGTCTGTACATCTCTACAGAAGACTTCCCGCCAAACTGCCTGCCTGTTAGATAGGTATTGTGGGAGGAGCTGATGAAGTAGTGAGCCAAAGAATGGTCCATTTCCTGGTATAATTCCAAACGGTCAAGGAAGACTGGGGCATTTTCATCTGACATCAAATATCTGCAGAATCCATCACTTGATATGAGACCTGGAAGGAAAAAATAGCTTTATGTGTTTTCTGTATTTATGCAGAGAATACAGATTGTTAGTGTTTAAAGGAACACAGACACTGCTACCCAGAAGAGGAGCTGGTATTTTATAACAGCAGATGAAAGAAAATTAGCAACAGTAATTTAAGTACAAGACTCTCCCAGTCTTTCAAAGGCTGGAATCCAAAGATTCTATTAGCATGACCTAGAAATTTATTTTGGATTTATTTTGGATTTAATTCCAAACCATGGAAGGTTCGAGACTTTTGCTAACCATCCTACTGTTCAGCGTATATACAGCAGATTATCTTCCTGACAATGAAAATTAAAACATTGTCTGCATAAACAAAGCCATGTTAGAAAATAGGGCTGTGTGTGCACAGTAACTTTGATCACAGTGTTCATAGTACGTTTTCTTCCTCCTCTTTTTGTTTTGTGCTTCAGAAATTGTAAAAGACGAGGGGCTAGATTCTGGTGTAAGCCAGATCAGAATCTGCCTGTGGTATCTATTTTAAAAATGGCCTCATGCTAAAAAAAAGGGGGGGGGGCAGTTAACCATCTAAATAGTGACATGACACAATTGGAATGCAATTTGAACTTGAAGTTCATGTTTCCTAATGTCAGACATGGGAGCTCTGTTATTGGCAAGGGATGGCTAACAGCAGCTCCAATTTTACTTTGTTTCACATGACCTTTTTGTTCCAACAGAGAATCCCTAACCCCCCAGCTTTCACTTGCTCATAACTTTCTGAACAAGTCTCACTTGGGGCTTTGAACTTTCTATTCTTGGTCACAGCCAAAGCCCTTCAGCTGGCTTTGAGTTAGGAGAAAATGAAAAAAAAACCCCAACACATTCTCATCTTAAGAAATTTACCCCCCCCCCCCATACACACTAAGAACTTAAAAACAGCAGAATAAAGTAGCTCCAAGCACGACATGCGATTAGTCTGGAGGAAAAAGTATAAGAGAGTGAAAAAAAATCACTACTGTGTATAGTTGTTGAATATTTGCTATGATTTTAGCAACGTAATGAAGTCCTCCCTCAATGATAACATAATTAAGAGGCTGAGTTAGCAGCCTAGCAGAAGGAGTAAGTGTCTATAACTACTCTCCCAAAGAGCTCCTGAGCTTACTGAGCCATTCATGTACTGCACAGCACACGAGGAAGGGTTGAGTTCTAGTTACTGATCCTTACCATACAGCAGGGGTAGTCAATAGGCGGACCATGGGCCAAATCCAGACCGCCAGCTGCTTTTGAATGGACCCCCAAATCTTTTTATTTACCTATTATCATTATTGTTGTTATTATTTTAATTATTTTTTCTGGAGTATGGACCTTGACTACACCTTGACCAAGAAATTTCGACCTTGACAAAAAAATAATTCACTATCCCTGCTGTACGGTGACCAAGGCAGGACTGGTTTCTTACAGCTCTTGTGCAGCGAATGAGGTCTTGCCTCCCACACAGTGCTATTCAGTGCACACATGTGCCTAAGTGCCTTATGGAATAGGGGTCTTGTAAAGGACTGCAGAGAACAGACACCACACAGATAAGCCATGCCTCCATTGGATGTTGGGGTAGGGTGGCAATTCATGCATTCCCAGAATACCAGACATTATGGTACTTCCAGGACTGGTGTGGGCCTTACCCTCCAGCATGACCTACTGGCGTGACCTCACATGGACAGTGCATACAAGGGCACACTAGTGGGGGTGGAATGATGTGCTTTTCAAAATGTCAACCCCATCTGATACTGGACAGAACCTAGTCTGGTTGTGTCTCCACACTGAACTTGGGAACAACCACCCAACAAGAGGACAGTATGGTTTAAAGCCAGATGAAGTTGTGGATCCCCAACGTAGGCAGGTTGTTGGGAATCCACAACTTCTGGGGCCAATTCCTCCCCTTCTCCCACTAATTCCATTGGGGTAAAACCACAATGAACTAACCCCACCAAGGAAAGACAAACATCAGAAAAACCCCATCGACTTTTCTGCAGCAGACATTCTGCATTTACATACATCACAGTAGAAATAAGAAAGAAAGAAAGAAAGAAAGAAAGAATTAAAACAATAGGCTCAATTCACTACCATGACTCAATGACTGGTTGAAAGAATATGAAAGCTGTATAGAAGCTTATGCCGACATCAGCTTCTAGATAGGTATTTTGCAGACAAGAAACTGTATCTTCATAAACTACTGGTTCGCTTTATCTTCTGCACACCCAAAAGATGGGTGCATATCTTTCTGAACAGGGGAAAACAATTCTCATTATAGCTTGTACATTATGGGAAAACACTTGGAATATGCTGGCATCTAGACAGTAGATCCATAACTTCATTAAACATGTAACAAATAGGATTAGATTAAAAAGAAAAGGAGGTAATTAGTAAGGGGAGTTTCTGGTACATATAGGGTGGAAAACAAAATAAGCTATAAAGTTGATGCCTTCAAAATTCCCATCCATGACTCCAAGAAGAGAAAACAATGGATCTTGGGGTGTCCTACAGATCATTTTTTAAAAAGAAATACCCTGCTATTGAGAGGAGATATCTTCCATCTGATAGCCAGAGGATTGGTTGAAAGCCTTCCCCTTTTTTACTGGAGTGCCCTGAGAAGTTATAGAGGGACCATCAGCTCACAGGTTCAATTTTAGCAAAAACTCATAAGCAATCTGTTAAAAGATAGTGTGATGCAAGGATAGCAGAGTAAACTAGGAGCAACATATACAGGATGAGATCCTTACCCCTCATTCAACTGCTTTACTCCTGGTAAAAGGACCAGAGTGAAGTCAAAGCACCCCACAAGCCCTGTTTCCTGTGGTGCAGGAACCAAGGAAGACAGCCACTGGCTCCTCACAATCCCTTGTGGAGGAAGCATGCCTGAGGCAGGAGGAGCACACCAGGGATGGAGATGCAGCTAGTGGTATTGCAGAGATTCTGGGCAAAACTGAGGCTTAGAGAAGACTGAGTAGGATGCTGCAACTTAGACAAGCCCCCAGGGCTATGTTATGCCTTCAGCCTCTGCAGCATATAGAGAAGATTAGGAGAGCACAAAGGTACTTACCCCTATTGCTTTGGTTAAAGCTAACATAGCATTTTACTATGTACCTGTGAAAGAAGCCCTCCCATTGACATAACACTGTATACACTGAGGGTTAGGTCAGTATAACTGCGATGCTCAGGGGTGTGGATTTTTCACTGATGTAAGTTTATAGTACAGATCTGGCCTCAGTCTCATTGGGACTTAGGCTCCTAAGTCACTTACGTGCTTTTTAAAATTTAAAGTATCTAAAGAAATGTGGTATTAATTTTTGATACACAGATATTCCCACTTTGTTTACCTTTATTCTTCAAATCTTCATCTGGCTCATATGTTTCAATTATCTGCATTGCTCTTTTTGAATCATAGAATGGGAATAAAATTTCATTCAGACGAGGATCTCGTTGATGCTAAGGTTAGAAAATAACATAATTTAGCAGGACTACTTACTGCAAGGCTATATGCCAAGAACTTTTCATTACTGCCGATGAAAAAGAAAGAGCTGGACAATTTTTTTAAACTAGAACTTACAGAATATCCCAATTGTAACTTCAGCACTATATAAATTTAAATCTAGTTATCTAGGAAAACAACAGGCAGTTTGCTCATCTGACATGTATTATTGCTATTTACTCATTACAATAAAATAACGCATGTGGAGTATGTGCCAATAAAATGTTGACAATTAACAGCAGATCCTTTAATAACTTGGTAAATCATCTTCCTTCGTCAGAAATCTTTTATGTAGGTCATACAAACTGATGGGCCTGACTGATGGTTACATAATTATCCCTTCATAAAACTTGTGTCTTCATCAATATGGATGACTAGAATAAACATTAAAAAAAAATAATAAGTTGCTACAAATATTCTATGCGAAAACTGCATTTGGAAATATGTTAACTGGTGTCTGTTATCTCTGCGAATCGTGGAGCTACTGGGGCTTTCTGAAAAAATCACCTTAGGATCATAGAGCAAATACGAAAATCATTAAAAAAACATCTTCACAGTGTCATCCCAAAATGTATAGCAATTAATGATGTAGGGATTTCATGATATCATACACAAATATTGTTTGGACTATATTTAGGCATAGTAGGTATCAGTGACTTCCAATAAATCTCTAAAGGCCTGATTCATGACACATTCACTTTAGAGTGTGCAATGCAATTTTCACTTTTATTCACACTGGATTCGAGCTGCACACGGTGTGCCTGATTCTCCATTAAAAAAATTAAAAACATAATTCAACTGAGTAGTGGCATGTAAGCGGATGCAAAAGCAAAACAAATAAACAAATATGACCATGGAAACACTCTTTTACCCAGGTAGGTGCAGTTTTAAAGCTGTAATTTACATTCAAAAATGTAACATAGGCCACCCCCGTACTGTTGACCAATAATTTAGGAGTGGACAGTGTGGGATGTCTATGGCTTAAGGCACTATAAGCATTTGCTGTAATTCCTTACATCCAAATATTTTGATATTCTGTTCAACATCAAGCTATGTCCAATCAAAAATAAGCAACCTGATCTCAGCTTTACAACCAACACATTGGTATGTGTGGTTGGTTAATTCTAAGAAATTACAACTAATGCCCATTTAAACATGCAGTTAATGAAGCATCCTTTTATTAATGCTATGGACAGTTGACAGCATCTGAAGTATAGCTGTTAAATTCACTATACGTTGGCTATCAAGATATCTAAGTAAATCTCAGATGAAATATGAAATGTAAGCAGCTGAATGCAAGACACACCTTGCTAAGCATCTCTCAGGAGAACAACACTAGCATGCAACTGTACAGCCGACCACATGTAATCACACGTGACAAACTTTGCACCAATAGTGAAAATGCATCATTTGAAACAACTGAAAGAAAGAGGAGGGGAGGCTCTTATTAAAGAAGAGTGATCTTCCCCACTTCACTCTTCCATGGATAATCGTAAATAGAACAGAGGTGACACAGGGGAAGAAAATAGATGGGAGAAGGTAAACAACGCTTCTTAGCGATCACAGCCAAAAAATTATTGCAGGGAACTAACAGTAATATTTTTGTTGTTGTCATCATGATCACTGCTCATTATCTTATTTTTTTTCCCCATTTGGGCAAAACATAAGTCTCTTTAAGTTTACTTAATTAAAAACAATTCTAGTAGTACTTGACAATTTGTGTGATGTTATAAAAAAAAAAGGAATGTCAAGCAGGATCCCTTGCATAAATGTTTTATGCTAGTGAGTTTGTTGGCACAGGGAATTTATAATGCAAAACAACATAGCTGACCAATATGAAAAGCATAAAGGCCCCAGGACTAATCACATATGTCCAGCAAAGCTGCTGTTGCTTGTTCTAGTTACCACATTAGACAGGATCCATACCTTTCTACTAGGTGTTCCTTAACAAAAGGAGGGTAAATCATTTAAGGGGGGCAGGGGTAGAGGGTGCCTGTTTACTTTGGAAAGAGAAAGAGGGAAGAAACAGATGCTCTCCAAATATGGCCACCTAGCCATTTACCTCCTAGCCAGATAAATACTTGCGGATATGTGAAACAACTCATGATTTGCTAGAAACCAGTTTCATTATTGGGATTTATGAGGTCCAGCAGAAATATTGGCCCCTCTCCACCAAAAACAGAAAAGGGAAACTTACTAAACAAGAAGGATCCAATCTCCCATTTCATCTCATCTCTTTGCTTAGCAGAAAGCAGGAGTCCAGGCCAGCCTGTACTGAATTACTACTTTTGATAATTACACACATAGACCAAAGCTAAAATCTGTGGCTGCGAGTAAATGGCAGGAGGAAATCTCAGTAGCTTTAGGTCTGTTTCATTTTTCTATTATTTTTCCTTTTCTTTAGACTGAACTTAAAAAAAGAACACATGCACAGAAGTGCCTGACAATAATTAGACTTTTAAAACAACTCACCAGCATTAATGATGATACATAATTAAATTAACTGTCAGCCTGCAGCATTAAACAGTCAAAATGGAGCTAACAATTTACCTCAGCCAACAGACAATAAAAAAAATGAAAAAAACTCCAGAAAAGCCTCACTTCCAAATCAGAGATACCCAGGAACATACACTCATCCTTCCCTAAAAACCCTATCAAACAAATTGCTTTTGCAACCTACAACATGCCTGGAAGGTCATCAAATTCAGGCTATTTTGGAACAAAGTGGAAACAAGTTCAGAAGTTCCAGGGCACATCCTCACTAAGAACGCCTTGCCAGCAGCCACCTCTTTTTTATAATGGTAATAAACTTTTATTGTTTGCAGGATTGCTGTAGCCATGTGTGTCCCAGGACATGGGAGGGACAAGGTGGGTGAGGGAGTATCTTTTATTCGACCAACTTCTGCTGGTGAAAGAGACAAACTTTTGAATTACACGGAGCTCTTCTTCAGTTCTGGGAAAGATAGCGTCATAGCTAAGTACAAGGTGGAACAGACTGTTAAGCACAGGAATTACCATGCTGCAAAGGACCATTCAAAATGAAGTGGGCCATTAACAGTTCTGCAACCATAGAACAAAGGAGAGTTAGGGCACATCTACACACACAGTGCTGTACCCACAGAGTTGTTATTGAGCCATATGATGCACTGGACGAGGGACACCACTTGTTGAGATAGGCTCATAGATTTTAAAAGGTGTTGTGAGGGGTCTGCATCATTGTAGCAGTGGAGAGATGTCTGCAGGTTTTGCATCTGTTGCTCTGGCGGGGTCTGGTGCCACTGAGTTGGTATGTCGTGGTTTGTGCAGAGCTTTGCGTTTGATGATGAGCTTGGTAAGGTTGGGAGGGTTATTTGAAGGCCAGAAGATGGTGTTCTAGAAAGCACTGGCACTCACTCCATGGGTGCTCCTGGGCTCGAGCACCCATGGAAAAAAAATCATGACTGCTCAGCACCCACAAGACACGGCTGTTCGGCAGTGCCGCTGATCAGCCCTTTGGCGGCTGGGGGAGGTGCTTGGGGGAGGGCGGAGAACAGCCAGTGGCGGGCAGGCGGGGGGAGCAAGAGGCAGAGTGAGGGCGTGGCCTTGAGGGAGGAATGGGGATGGAGTGGGGATGGAGCACCCCCGAGGAACAATAAAAGCCAGCGCCTATGCCGGAAAGATTGCGTTCAGGATGTGGTCCCCATCAAATATGGGTGGAATGAGACCATCGCTACGTTCTCAAATGAACTCACGCAGAAAAATGACCAAAAAGACCAAAACACTGTATCAACCGTCAAACAATCACTCCATATCTGGCCTCACAGCCCTTGTCTTCAAAGGAAGCCTGCACGACCCTTTACTGTCTCTTTCAACAATCTGTAACCCTGGTTCCTTGGTTCTATGACTGCAGAGTTGTTAATGGCCCACTTCACTCTCAATGGCCCCTTTAAACATGTTGTTAGCTCTTATGCTTAACAACTGTGTATTTATCTGTGACACTCTGAGTACCTTTCCCAGATCTAAAGAAGAGCTCTGTGTCTCTTTCAGCAACAGAAGTTGGTCCAATAAACAGTATTACCTCACCCATCTCATCTCTCTCAATAAGCGTTTACGTTTTCCAGCTCGAGCACCTGTGCGGACTACAGAGAGTGCAGGCCATACGTGAAGGGAGAAAGAGACGATGTCTTAGGTAAGTAGGTCCCAGGTCACTTAAGGCCTTACACATCACGACCAACACATTAAACTCTACTCAGACTATGACTACACTAGAGAGCCGCTCTAAGCCGAAGGGAGAATGCTCTCCTGTCGACTTAATTAACTCACCCTCAATGAGCAGCAGTAGCTATGTTGGCAAAAGAAACTCTCCCACCGACATAGTGCTGTCCACACTGGTGCTTAGGTCGGTGTAATTTATGTCACTCGGGGGTGTGGATTATTTACACATCATACCAATCCTCGTTCCTACAAGCACTTACACATATGCCTAGCTTTGTGACCATGGATTTCAATGGGACTACTCATAGTAGTCAGATGAAGCATGTATGTAACTGTTTCCAAGGTTGGGCCACATTTGGGGCAGCCACTGAGCGTGGTTTACTCCATGTGCCTAGTCCACTGGACAGCGGTAAAACTGTTCATTTCATCACTACTTTTCCTCTACTACTTTTAAAAAAAATCCTTTGTGTTTGGTTCACTTTTGGAGATCAATAAGGTATATACTGCTTTTTGAACAGGGAGCAAAGGGGCCCTCTTTTAGATACACTGATGCATGGTTAAATCTCTGCATAGAGAAATGAGAAAATAGCAATTTGCTGTGGCTGTTCTTGTTTAAGTTTGTTCTTGGATAACTTGTCAGTTCACTCAAAGACTATAGAGAAGGAATACAATTCTGCAGTCTGTTGGGAAAAAAAAGAGTTTTGTGGCACAAAAGCTGGGGAATTACTTGGTGTTCGCAATACTTCATTTGTTTCAAGTAAATTCTGTCAAATTCACTTAAGTGGTGTGTAACTCTGTAAATCATACTCCCACTTATCTTAATATGATTTAGAAATAGAAGAAAATCACACACTTTAATAAAACACTTTTTCAGAGACTAGACTGAAGAAACACTGCAGACTCTTGCTAATAAATGTGCATTTTAGAAATACTGCTGCCAATATAGTTCCTTCTATCCTACATATTAATATTTTCAGAATCACATACAATCCATTAAAATATCCTTATGATCCACAGATTTGTAATAAACAGAAAATATTTGATAGTGGAGAATCAAGCCACTACATATAAAAGCCCACTTCATTTTTCTGTTATTCAGATTCAGCAATCAGATGCCTAAAAGTAAAATAACTGCTTATAACAAAACACTGAGTATCGTTTAGTTGAAATTACTTTGTATATAACAGTATAAAATGTATAAAACATACACAACAATAGCTTCACACCACAGCAAGTAATCAACAGAAGCAATCCGCAAAGCCAACATAGAGAAAGCACAAGAACATATACGGTTGAAGCTGATTTTTGCACCTGGATATTGCCATAATGAAAAGATCAGCAGATCAAAAGCACAGCAAATGATGGCATGATACATGCAATGAGAAGACTGGAAGAAGCAAGCCACTGCAGACAGACTTGTATGGTAGTTAATGTATGAAAAAGCTTACTTCATTTAGAAAGCTCACTAATTGGTCTACCGTTAAATAATCAGTTTTGTCTCCATTGCTGAAAAGAAATTTATTAGAAAAAGTAAGTTTTCATGTATGATGCTACAGTAGGTATGATTTACATGTTGACATTGTTGATACTTTCTAAACCTTGCAGTTTCCTAACACTGAAGTAGCTATGTATTCTCAAAATGAACAAACACTGTCAAGGCAAACAAACAGTCTATGCTTGCTACAGTATAATAATACCCTCTCTTCTCAGTATGATTTAACAAATGTTAATTTAGAAAACAACATGTAAGTCCTCCATTTGAGAAGAATCTGATTGAACAAACTTTTAGACTTCTTGCTTAATCTAGTTAGTTCACATACTGTGTTAATAACCTAAAGGAGCAGGTTAAAACTGTAGGTAGTTAGTAAAGCCAATGCAAAAAAAGTTCCAGGTGCTTCTTTTAACTCATGTAAAAGTTGCTCTAAAATACAGAGTTAACTTTTACATGAATAATTTGGGGGAAAAGACAAGAAAATGTAGATGTGACTTGGTTTGCAAATACTGTACATGGAATTAGGAGTTACGGTTGGAAATTCTTTACCATGTTCAGTGTTGTACTGGTAATACTAGAAATAGACTAAAATGACAGTAAAACAATTTAAAATTAGTTTAATATTTAACTTACATCTTCCTAAAGAGTTCCTCTATGTCCGTACGAGGACATATTTTTTGGGTTAGTTCATAAAATTTCTCATAAGTAAAAGCGGGAGGCTCAATTTCATCATTCTGGAAAAAAAAACCAAAACGTAAAGGTTGATTTAGCAAGAAAGAGCCAATTTACTTATTCTATTCTATCAGCATGTCTGAGTATTAGAAAAGTATTAGTAACATGTGCCTAATGCACGTAGCTTTATTTATATTTTCTGAGAAGAGCTCTCCATTTTTTCCTTACCCCAAATCTGTTTAGTGCACTTATATTCTGACTACATGGTAACATTAAGTCTGTGAATGATAAAATAAATAATAATAATATGTAAAAAAGTAAATACAGAACAAGGACATAGTCTTTATTTTGCCTGTTGAAGTTAAAGTTAAAAAAAAAATCATTCAAGGTACCATGTGAATGTGTGAATTTAAATATTCAACACACTGGGACATCAGAAAAAAGTCCGATCTAACTTTGGTACCATTTAGTATAAACCACATTAGTAAACATTCCTGTTTAAGTGAAGTGATGACGCACCTGTCTGAGAACACAAGGCATGTTTTTTTCACATGACACAAATGACTTAACACATAACGATATAATCTGATCGATTCTGTGATTTCTTAATATAAAAAATGTTATTTTAAATTGGCAAATACCTTTCCACTGGGAAGCCCTAGTTCCTTAAGTGCCTGAAAGATCACCTTTTCTGTTTTACCTGATGCAAAGGTTCTGGTAATACTAAGAAAAAGAAGAAAAAAAGTTAGTCACTTTTAAAATAATCAGTTTCAGTCTCTTACTCCTTTTCTCCTCCAACATTTCCCCCTTTTTTCAAACGACGTATGCACGTACCTCTAGAGACAATTGTGGACCAAGCCCAGTTGTAATAATGCTGTAAGCTTCCACAGAGCAGAAATACTCCACCTGCTCTCTGTGTAAGGCAACTACTAAAAGATTTAGCAAAACAGTGATCTGCCCAAAGAACTAAGAGGTTTGTTCAGTAAGAGTTGTGCAACACGTTATTCTGCTGGCAGTTTTCAACATGATACATAGACAACTTACTGTGTCAAAAAAAAAAGCAGCAGGGTCTACAAACAAGGTAGGTATTAGCCAACTCAACTCTAGGCTTTGCTGCTTCCTCTGTGTTCACAGTTGTGACTCCTACTCTTCTACACTATTAATGTGTCCATTTTAAGGCAGTCATCCCACAGGAAATCCTGATCCATTCCCATTCCTCTGCTTCCTTCCTCCTCTCTTTTGAAGTTATTTCTCCCCATGAGAAACTCTCTAAATTCTGATACCTCATATTTTCCACCAAGACCATCTTCCACACACAGAATTTTGTTACTCTTTCCTTGCTGTCCCTTCTTCCCTTGAAAGGCTCTCTAATCCGGTCCAACCAAGGCTATTCCTCCTCCAGACAGACCACGTACAACCATTTTTGCTTCCTTCCCACTTCCACTGAGACACTTAAACTCCTGGACCAATTTGGTTTCTTTGTATAAAAGATGGATTTATTTCACCATCCATTAGACTAAGCCCTGGTCTACACTAGGACTTTAGATCGAAATTAGCAGTGTTAAATCGATGAAACCCTGCACCCGTCCACACGATGAAGCCCTTTTTTTTGACTTAAAGGGCTCTTAAAATCGATTTCCTTACACCACCCCTGACAAGTGGATTAGCGCTTAAATCGGCCTTGCCGGGTCGAATTTGGGGTACTGTGGACACAATTCGACGGTATTGGCCTCCGGGAGCTATCCCAGAGTGCTCCATTGTGACCGCTCTGGACAGCACTCTCAACTCAGATGCACTGGTCAGGTAGACAGGAAAAGAACCGCAAACTTTTGAATCTCATTTTCGGAGACTGCGGGAACTTGTGGGATAGCTACCCACAGTGCAACACTCCGGAAGTCGACGCTTGCCTCGGTACTATGGAAGCACTCTGCCGAGTTAATGCACTTAGAGCATTTTCTGTGGGGACACACACACTCAAATATATAAAACAATTTCTAAAAAACCGAATTCTATAAATTCGACCTAATTTCGTAGTGTAGACATACCCTAAGAGCCTCATGTTTACTTGGAACACAATATATCCAAGTCTATGATGTCTGATGTGATTAATATGGAGACTTTTGTTTTATTTCTGTTTCCACTGGAGATGAGCTTCAGAAAAGTCAGATCACAGCCAGCCTTCCCCCCCCCAAAGGGCTGAGCCAAAATCATGGGGCCAACTACTCCCCAAGCTTTGGTGTCCAGATCTGGAGACAAATACTGTGGCTTAGGGCACGTCCATAATCCTAACATGAGCATTACATCAGGAAAGACTTCACAACAGTAATCTGACTAAAATACGCTGCCTTCTATATCACCAAATGAATTTTCCAAGACTTCTTATTAATATCATGGACACTAAGTAAATACACAAAGTGAAAGATGTGAAATACACTGTTCCCATTATTATATATTCCCATATCAATCAAGATTTGTTTTGTTCTCCAAAACACTGAAAACCACTTGTATAAATATTTTCCGACCAATAAAATGAAGATCAGCAAGCCAAAGATATAAATGATAAATTAATATTTTTGGTCAAGATTTTTTTAAAACAGGTGCTTAAAGTTAGACTCTTACGTCCATATTTAAGGACTTAAATAAGTAGTCCGATTTTCAAAGTCGTTGAGTACCCAGTAACTCCCATCGAAATAGGGGCTGTGATGCCTAAAGTTACACTCCTATTTTTAAAAAATCTCAGCTGTTATCTATTGAACCCTTTCTAATTTTCAGCGACATTACACTCTAATTTATATAGATTTAGATTGCATTGGTGAATTTTTGGTTCAAGGTAAACTAATATAACCAGTTTTAAACCCATAAAAATGTTTCCACCTGGGGTTAAACTAAAATTAGTTTAACAAACTTCAGTTAAATTGGTGCAACCAGCGTGTGCAGACAAGAGTTTAGGACAGTCGCAGTGTGGTATCTACTGACAAATGCTTACTTTTTATAATGACCATTTCATTTTCGACCAAGCTATACCAAACTTCATGTGAAACACTCAGTTCTTGTAAGGTTTGCACATGAATTTCCAGATTAAAACTGCTCAGATACATTTGACAAAGCAAGTAAAGTAAACACTGAACGCCTCTGAGATTTGCCCACCACCAATTGTTATGCGCGCTCCCTCCCCAACCTATTGATGGAAACATTTATGCTATGCTATGCTTATACCCATACAGGCTATGTTAAATTCCCCAAAAAACAACAAAGGAATAGAGTCCTGCACCTTGCATAGTCTATTACACCAAGGGAAAGTCGGGGCAAACTGTTACGAATTGGTAGCATTTATACCACTTTGCACTGTTGTAAATGACTGCACAAGGTGCAGACCTAGGAAGAATCAGGCCTACAGAGTTCCACTTTCCCAAGGCTTGGCATTCGCCTAGGCCTTTTGCTGGTTGTAGTGGGGTCTATGTTAAAGTTCAAAGAAACACAGATTTCTCATTTCCCAGAGAAGACTTTTCCCTCAGGCTTTCTTTAGGCTTCAATGTCAAAATGAAATCAAACTGACAGAGTTTATTTTCCTGTCTCATGTTCCTAGTCCCCACCAGCTCTGACATGGAGACTTGTCTTCCTGAGGGAATGAAAATCCCATATATATCCCCATAGCTGCCAGGTCTTGTGCAACTCTAGCTCACGTATTTCCTCCTCTGGGTGACCGTGAGCAGTAGGACAGGTGTGGGAGAAGACGGAAGCTGATCCCTCTCACCCACAGATGTGGGATGGAGGAGGCAGGGTTGACTGAGTAGCCTGGAGAAGTCAGCCAGTATAAAGATATAGGAGGAAAGCAGGGTGTAGCCTATGCAGCATAGAGTCTAAGGGGTTGTTTAGGAAAAGCAGAAGGAATGGGAGTGCCTGAGGAAGCCGGGGGGAGGAGTTATCAGGGATGAGGAGAGCCTGGAGCACTGGGGAGATGCTGGGATGGGGCAAAGCCTGGAGACGTGAGGGCGGCTTCTGGGGGAAGAGAAAGGTCAGGAGTCTGATAGTTGCTAGAGGCAGGGTGAGCCCTGGACCCATTACCTCCATGGCCTGCCTCCTTTCACCTCCTGTCCCCATCTATGTCCTATTCCCCTCAACCCTGGCCCCCACCTTGTGCCCCTGTGCCTGTCCCCACTCCCCTTCTGATCTGCTCCATGCCAACATGTCCCTTGTGCAGTAGATGGCCTCCTCCTTCTCCAGGCTGTCTGAGGGCCAGTTGAGACAGAGAAGAGAGTCTCCTCCCTATCCTCACTGCTGCAACGTCACATCATAGCAGCCCCCAGGCCTGGGGGAAAACCCTGCTCAGCCCCTCCAGCAGGGCTGTAGGAATGTGTGATGAAGCTGCTCAATGCATGACACCTGACGGACCAATATCTAGCTCTATGCCCAGTAGGCCTTACTGGAACCCAACAGGTCTCAGGGGCTATAATCCCCATTGGGACCTCAGTGCCGAGGGAGAAAGGGAACATCCATGGACCCTACCCTTCAAAGCTCTGGTCTCAAGTGCAGGACAGGGTCAACAGCCTGGGTTTTCCTTTCCTTTAATCTTAAACTGCTTCCCCGACACCCCTTCCTTTCGCTCAGTGTCCGCCTCCCATATTCTCCTAAGGAAGGCATGGAAAAGAGAGAGTGCTTGCACCAGAGGCTTCTCTAATTAGCCCGGAAAAAGGGCTGCCACACCCTATCAGAGGCACCTAGATGAGTGGCCTGATTTTCAGAGGTGTTGAGCACCTGCAGTTCCTGTTGAAGCCACTGGATTCAAAGTTACAGTGTTCAAAGATAGTTCAATGAAACCACATGTTCTGTTAATCCAAGAAGTCTGGCGTTTCACAGGATGACACTAAATTAATTACCATATATATTTTTCTGAGAGGTGCAGCGCTATACTCCTTAGCTTTGAAGGCTGAGAATCTGAGCAACACGGAGTTTCCCTCTTTATAGCATGAAACAGGATTAGATCGGTCACAAGTGCCAAATGATTTGGTGGATTTATGGAAACTAAAATCCCTTCAAGGGAGTACTGCTGGCTGAAATCCACATAGTATTCTTGAGTGCTAATGCCTGCTTTGGAATGTCTGCATTAGCAGTACAGTACGTGTGAAATCCATGCACTGTACCTTCATATCTGTGTAGCAGTCTACAATAAATTGAGTGCAGCACATTAATTATTCCATCAAAAGACTGGACTGATTTCTTTTTATGCCTGAACTGGCCTTTGTTTGAGCAAACATCAGGATCCTAGACTTCAATTCACTAGCATATTGTGCTAAAAACACTTTGAAACTGAGCCCTTTTGGAGGCCTGCTTGCCTCGACATGGAAATTGTGTAAATCTATGTCAGAGTGGTAGCAGTGTTAAGTCTGTATCAGCAAAAATAAAAACAACAAGGAGTACTAGTGGCACCTTAGAGACTAACAAATTTAGTTGGGCATAAGCTTTTGCGGGCTAAAACCCACTTCATCAGATACATGGAGTGGAAAATACAGTAGGAAGATATATATAATAGTACATGAAAAGATGGGAGTTGCCTTACTAAGGGGGGGGTCGAGACAATTCAATTCAAGTGGGTTATTATCAACAAGACGAAAAATCACTTTTTGTAGTAGTAATCAGGATGGCTCATTTCAAACAGTTGACAAGAAGGTGTGAGTACCAATAGGGGGAAATTAGCTTTTAGTTCTTGTAGTGACTCATCCACTCCCAGTCTTTACTCGGGCCTTATTTGATGGGGTCCAGTTTACAAATTAATTCCAGTTCTAGGGTAACAAAGGACTTAAAATTGAACAGCTTTTAACGAGAGCCATTGATATGTACTGAACAGGACAGTTATTTCATTTAAACCACCTATTTGAGATCCATGGATCTGACAGGAAGATTTAAGTCATTAGAGTGACTGGACTGTGCTGTCCCCAGTGGATCTGCATGCAGAAGGGGATGGATTAACCCTCTTCAGCATCGTTCCCCCAGCCCCATTATTCTGCAGATACCCCATCCACGGGGGCGCTATTTAGAAGGTGCCCCAAGGAGGTTTGGTGCAAGACCAAGGGACCAGCAGGGGACTGGCCATTTGAAAGTTGATATATTAATAAACCAAAGCAGCATTCATTCCTTCAAGGTGCCCTCCTTGGCTGCGGTTATGGTTGGAGTCATGCTGCCAAAGGAGAGACGGGGCAATGGAGCAGGCTCTATGGTTCTGGGGGTTTTGCTGCTTCTCAGCTCCACAAGGATCCAATCCCCACTCTCTTGAAAAGATGCCTGGCAAGCAACTCCACGAGGGGAGCCCCACCATGTTTTCCGGCACTTCTTGCCCCCCTTCCAGGTAATGCTGTGGATGTGGGCAATATGGCCCAGTATTAGCAAGAGTGGTGACTTTCACATTTTTCTGTGCGGGAAGGAGAGAAGGCAAATTGTTTGATAGGATTTTGAGCAGGTATGTGTAAGAGAAATGCAGTAAAACTAGACTATAAGAAAGAGCGATATCAGATGTCTCAGCCAGACTGCTCTAACAACTGCTTACAGAGAAATATATTGTTTTGTTCCATAGTTGCCTTTTTAATCTTTGGCAATAAGTAAGCCAAGACCTGCTGTGGGTTGTATACTGCATGGCATAAATATTGTTCCAGAAGTTCCTGTGAACACAAGAATAATTCTGGCAAAGCTGCCTCTTTTAGTTTTGCAGTGAATTGCATTTCCCAATGTACCTGCTATTCTGTATTTGCAATGGTCTGAAACATTTGTATGCTGCTATTGACAAAGTCTTTACAACCTGCCTTCTAACTACTGAAAAACTCATCCCTGAACACTCAGGGTTAGTGCCTATAAGCTGCTAGATGCCCTTTGCTCCAAGTAGATTTCCCGAGAGTTGAAAGCTCTTAACACTTCACAGGATAGGGCTCTTAAGAAAAAAAATCACTGATTTCTTTAGGAGTTTTTCCTGCTTAAAAAGAAGGAATAGAGCAAAAATGACAATGTCTTAGTTCCCATCTTGTTGTTTATAAATATATTACAATTATAAAATTAATATTATCCAAATATAATCAGCAAGCATATTAATATCATAAAATATGATCTGAGACACATTACACAAAACATATGTGCTAGGTTGCTAAGCTCCTCCAATTGTGCTTACCTCCTAACGGGAATTTTGCCATTTGTGTTTGTCAGAAACGCCAGCTTCATCCAGCTGAAATGTAGAAAGAAATGTTAAAAATTAATATCGTATTTATTTATTTTAGTAAAAACAGGGTTCTAGATATTTCTATTCAGGTTAATGGTGCCTGCCATCTTTGTGAAATGATCACAAAAAACATCAGCAGTTCTAATCTTCGACTCATTAATGATCTTTTTGAAACTCAAAAAGACAATAAGCCACATCCCACCAGCCGGCCAGAGTCAGCCTGACCCTTAGGCAGGCCTGGATTGTAAGGGAAGTACTACAGAGCCCACTGCCTGCCAGAGTGTCCAGACAGAACTGCAGTTCCTGCCTTCGGGGTAGCACAGGGACTGCGTCCTGGGAATTCATAGCACCCTAGAGAAAGTAGGGCCGGGCAGGCAGGAGACAAGTACCACAGCACCACTACCCCGCACAGTGGCCTGAAAAAGAGACAGGAAGTACGCTGAACCTGACAAAGGGTAAGAGAAAGCCGAGGGTGTGCTGGGAAGCCTCGGGAGGCGTTCCGTCTGCTTCCTTAGCGCTCCCTGTGGAGCAGGGCATGGCTACAATGCAGAGCTGTGCTCCAGAGGCAAAATTCATCCCAGAATAATTAGAAAATCAGTACCTCCCTTGACAGACAACCTCTCCCTTGCTACATACTTCCAAAACCAGTATCGCCCATGGGGGTGATGTGTATGTATCAAGGGAAGAACAGACAAGACAATAATTAAAATGACACGTCTCAGTAGATTAAATGTACGCTTGTAAACTTTCTTACACTCTCTCAGGCAGACACCAAGCTAGGGACTTGGAAACTTGGATGTTTACAATGAAACACGAGCCTTAAATGCGGTTAACACCGTGTATCGCATGGGAGGTTGAAGTCTGAGGGAATTTTTCCTGTAGACTGTTTTGACAATTGCATTGGTTGAGCCAAGAAAAGAAAGGACAACCAAGACAGTTCATATAGGAAAATATGTGTCCAAAAAAAGATACACAGGAGGAAAAACAGGGAGGGAAAAGCCTTACTGTTTCTTGAGGCATGTCATTGGACTGACGTTGTTCGCTCTAAAGTTATGTATGATGGATCCAAGTCCTTCTCCCCATTGCTGAAAGACAAGAAAACACACAGGCACTCAGCTATGGAAAACAAAAAGGGGGAAAGCAGGCCAACCTAATCACTGGGCATGCCTGTCTCAAAGGAAAAACTTTTCTCCTTTTCACGCAACTATACAAAATGTAGAGAACCTGACGTATAAAACTCTCTCCCAACCCCACCTTGGAAGGGAGAGCCAGCATCCAAACTGCGTATTACACGCTAATATTTTATTCTTCGATAAACAAAGTCACGCTGGTTCCCATTTTTTCCCCAGCTACATAAATGCTGCATCTGTAGTGCCATTAAAACAGCTGATTGCCAGCAAAGGAAAGCTGCCCACTGATGGTTTTATTAAGCTTTCTATTTATAGACTGTATAAATATAAATCTCTTTCAGCTGCTGTTGGCAATATTAGCTATTCCTAAGCAACATTATACAATATGTGATGACATATTTAACTGCGTTCTATTTTAGAACAGAAATGAAGCAAAATATTAATAATCTATAGCAGACTACAAGGAGGCACAGCACGTGTGTTATGTGACGAACCAAATCTAGCTGCCTGTTACATATTCCATCATGCTTTCTTTCCAGTTTTCATCCTTAAAAAGTAAAACATTCCACTGACCATGAGGCTATCTTTCAGCAAACAGCAGTACTGCAGTCCTTACATAATTTCTTTATAAGGATCTATTTTTCAACTGTAGTTCACATCTTGACTTTGCTGATTTGTACTGAAAACGTTTGAGACTTAGGGCCTAAAATTAAAACCAACGGGAGTTGGCAATGGAAGCTTTGGGTGAGCAAGGACAATAAGATCAACCCCCAAAACAGCAGAAATCTAATGACATGACAGGCCAAGTTCTATCTCAGTTATGCCCGTATAATGCTGAGACTATTGCATAGACCAGTGGTTCTCAACCTATTTATTATTGTGGTCTGCATTTGCTGCTCTCCATGTGTTATGTGGGCCGCTTCCACACAATATATATATATATACTACCTGTATGGCCCTGATGTTGTCACACGGGCCTTAGCTGTGTGCTGACTGGGCTGCAAGCAGCCTGTGGATTGAGAACCATTGGCATAGACTATTTGCATCAGTGTAACTGAAATGGGGTTTGCTCCACTGTTCCCTATCAGCCTAATGAGTAGAAAGCCTCTCATTAAAGGCAAAACTCTGTACATGGAGCTTGAACCGACCACGTGTATGCCAAAATCTATTCTAGAAACACTTTATAAATAGAAGTAGATGAGTGTATTTTTCTTTTCATGAATGAGTGTTGTACATATCTCTAAAATTTATATGAGGCAATATTGAAGGCTTGAGCAAACTATATACAATAAGTCTGACCTGTAGCCTTAGGTGGCTAAAATAAACTAAAAATGCCCATCTTTAAACACAAATAGCTGCTTTAAACGCACATTGAAATTACACAGTAGTTGTGTAATTTCATAAAGCATGAAAACAGAGCCCCGACTCTGTTTAAAGGCATCATGTTGTGTTCTCAAAAACAAATGCCAAAGCTTTGCTGAAAAGACTTCATATGTGGTTCTCTCATCTTCTTTCCGCTGGGTGATTAAGACCCCTTAGGAAAACCATCTCTCAAAGTTTTACTAAGTACGCCTGTACTGTAGTCTATCAGAGATTGCTCAGTTCTCTCTCACTGTGGTATTTAAGCACTCTTTTACCTGGTCTTTCCTTTTTTTAAAATGTTTTTAAAAACATCCTAATGGAAATGATATGCTGCCGCTGCAAGAACACTGCGGTACCATTATCTGCCCCAGACTGAGCTAGATTTGTCTGACATTCTTGAAAAGCTCTTGACTCTCTTGGCTTTCAATAAGAAGTTAAATTTTAAAAGCCACAGTGTGCAAAAATAACTACAGGGCAGCTAAACTAAACAAAATGCAAGTCATACAAATGTACAGTCTTAAAAAAAACAACAGGTTTTCTGCTACAACATGCCACCAGATGTCAGTAGAAGTATTGTGTACAATGCTGTCAATGCGAACACATGGTTAAGAAATAAAGATACATACCTGTCAACTTGGATTTTCAGGCAACTATATTAAAGCACCAAACCCTTGTCCTTAGCTTTCTCTTTTATTCATCAGGACCAACTGCCCTGGGGCACCACCACTGGGAAAACCCAAGCCATGAATCACCTATCCAGCTCTTTCTTGGTGAAAAGATTAAGTCCTGCTTAGGAAGGATTCCCAAACAGCACTTCCCCAACAGGTAAACCAAGCCTGGGGCTGCTCTATTTTGTGCCAACATAAGTGGATGAAATCACAGAATCATAGAATATCAGGGTTGGAAGGGACCTCAGGAGGTCATCTAGTCCAACCCCCTGCTCAAAGTAGGACCAATCCCCAACTAAATCATCCCAGCCAGGGCTTTGTTAAGCCTGACCTTAAAAACCTCAAAGGAAGGAGATTCCACCACCCTCCTAGGTAACACATTCCAGTGCTTCACCACCCTCCTACTGGACAAGTTTTTCCTTATATCCAACCTAAGCCTCCCCCACTGCAACTTGAGACCATTACTCCTTGTTCTGTCATCTGCTACCACTGAGAACAGCTGAGCTCCATCCTCTTTGGAACCCCCTTTCAGGTAGTTGAAAGCAGCTATCAAATCCCCCCTCATTCCTCTCTTCCGCAGACTAAACAATCCCAGTTCCCTCAGCCTCTCCTCAGAAGTCATATGTTCCAGTCCCTTAATCATTTTTGTTGCCCTCTACTGGATGCTTTCCAATTTTTCCCACATCCTTCTTGTAGTTTGGGGCCCAAAACTGGACACAATACTCCAGATGAGGCCTCACCAATGTTGAATAGAGGGAAACAATCATGTCCCTCGATCTGCTGGCAGTGCTCCTACTTATACAGCCCAAAATACCGTTAGCCTTCTTGGCAACAAGGGCACACTGTTGGCTCATATCCAGCTTCTCGTCCACTGTAACCCCTAGGTCCTTTTCTGCAGAACTGCTGCCTAGCCATTCGGTCCCTAGTCTGTAGGAGTGCATGGGATTCATCAAAGGCAATAACTGGTAAATCATAGGGGAATCCCAGCCACACCATGCTATGCTGGTACAGGGCAAAGGAGTAGCATAAGAGCTCATAGGCCAGCACAGAATCACCCTTCCATTGGCGTGATGCTCCCTGGGCTGCTTACGCCAGCTTTTGGGCCAGACTCCCACCAGCTGTGCCACACCAGAGCATCTGTCTCCTTGTGTTCAATTTGGGACTAGGCAGTACCACACATGGGTCAGCTGGTCTGTTTTACCCAAAGGCTACTAGCTTGCCTCAAATTACCTGGGGATGGGAAAGTCAAAAAAAAGGAGGACTGTGTACAAATTGCACTGGAGCTATATGACACCGGATGAAGAATTGAGCTACCAGTAGGTTCAGGCATATGCTCGAAGGTGTCTGTACCCTGTGCATGAAATGTCACATTATTTGTCAGGCGGTCAAAGATCAAATCCTTGTGAGCCACAAATCTTCTGCAAAAAACTAATTTTTAAGATTACACCATCAAATGAAAAAAAGAGTCTGAATATACAGGACTGTGACAATGTTAAACTGGCAATATATAGCTTTTCCGTCACCAACCCATTCCCAGATTAATTGGAAAACAGGCTAGCTAACGTGTTGTCTCTGTAAAAGGGGGAAAAGGAAGCGTTTATACCTTTCCCACAACCTAAATAGTATCCTAAGGGCTGGTCTACACTTAAAACACTGCAGTGGAACAGCTGCGCCTCTGTAGCTCGTTTCAGTGCAGATGTTACCTACCCTGGCAGGAGGCGTTCACCTGTCGGGATAGGGAATCCACCTCCCCAGGAAGCAGTAGCTAGGTCAACAGGAGCATTTTTCAGTCGACCTAGAGGTATCTACACCAGGGGGTTAGGTCGACTTAACTGCATCACTCTGGGGTGTGGATTTTTCACATCCCGAGTGACAGTTATACCCCCCTAATTTCCTTGCGTAGACCAGGCGTAAAATGGCCACACGAATCTGGGAACAACCCTTTTTCCTCGCTATGAGGGAACTACCAATTTGACTTGTTCTAAATCAGTTACATGAAGGTGAAGTAACAGCAAACGCTCTGCAAAGACAATCAAATCTGTTGCCTAGTGTTCAGCATCACCAAGCCACTAGGTATTGAAAGAATGGCAAAGACCACTGAAAAAATCAAATTCTGAATTCAAGTAAACAAGGACACCGGCATAAAACCTGAATGACACAAACTGTTATTCTGGATTTATATCAGTGTAACCAGGAGAGGAATCTATCCCTTAGTATCTAACCTTAGAGAAGCAATGACCATGAAACTAAATGGAAAAAATGAAGCAGTGGGCACAGAAACTACAGGATGAAGAGCTGAATGCACAACTAAGTACATGGAATGTGGAAAAAGATAACTGAACTAGCTCTGTTAAACAAAGAGCCAGCATTTATGAATGCCTTTAAGTGGAAAAAATGAAAAACATTGACTGAAGAAGCCTGTCTTCCAACGTTTGCTGAATAACTCCATCAAATCCTTTAGAGCTACTCAGTGACCTTGCTTCGTCTTGGTTTCCTCAATGAAACACAAGCCAGCAGTGGTAGAGTGCACAGACTGCTTGATCTCTTAGCTCTGAATTAGCCAGGGCCTTACATTTAACAGGATGAGATGCAAAGTAGGGTCATTGAGAGTGACTAAAAACTGCTGTAACCTTCAGCTCATGCTGTTCAGTCCAACATCATCCATGGTTTAGTTATAGATGAGACCTGTATTACCCAAATCGAGCAAGGAGATTCCACCTTTCCTGTGTCCATGTAGTTTCTCCAGTGAGAACATGAACACCAGGCTAACTCTAGGTCCAACATGAACAGCAGGCTAAGGAACTAGGATGACGGAGTGGTTTTTTGCATCTGGTATTATCCCGAGGGGGTGCCTAGTGCCAAAGACTGATTTGTTAGAGTCCAGGACTTGATAATTTGTGGATAATATCTAAATCAACACTTCTA